GTCATTCCCATTCCACTTCTCTTTATTTTCTAATATAGGTATCGGTTTGAGCAGGGGACAAGAGGGGCAGAAGGAAGAGAGCGCGACGGTTTCGTTGGTAGAATATTCAAGGTACTATAGGTACGTATCACTGCATCACATTCAAACCCTCCCGCCCATTTATCCCGCTGCCTTACAACGGACTAATTGAAGAACAAGGATATAACTGCTCAAAATACTAATTACATGCATTGAGTAATCCCCACTGATATCCCCATTCACACATTGAATGCGGTAATATACGGATAAGTGTGTCCACCATGTCCGATATTCTCTGCCGCAGGAGTGGATCTAGTGATGTTTTTGCATTGTGGAGGAGGGTACGAGTTACCTGGGGGTATCTCTCCGGGAGATCGGTGCTTCCGCCAAAGACGCTTCCTTAGCAAATACTACTAGCCCCGGCCATGCAGATCCCGTGAGCTAAACATCACCTGGGCACCTGGGCGCATGGTGGGAGCAAGGCGGCACGTTGGCTTGTCGTGCAAATTCTAGCCTCTAGCCATGCTTTGGAAGTTTCATCAAGCGGCAAGGCGTACCTCGCATCCTCCGATGTGGTGTATTTGATGCCAATTTTACCGTAAGCCGTGGAAAGGATTGAGGGGGGGGAGGTTATAAAATAAATATTACAAGTTGAAGCAGGGTGACAAAAGACAAAACCAGGATCAGACAAAAGAGCAAACGAGATACAAGTTCTAAATGAAGCGAAAATGCATTATTGTGCTACCTGATCCTTCCAGCTGGTGCGAATTCTAGATCAGCAAGCAAGGAAGACGGATGTCGACCAACGGGACAATAATAACATGACAACTGTACACTCCCGTACTCCCTGTATGCAGAATCGATATATGGGGAACATGCGGCGGCTGAGGCCATGTGAGGTGCCAAGTATCAGCGCGAAGATCGCTTTGTACAACAACTTGATACCAGCCGTTTACAGAGGCCGGTGCGGGCAGAGCGAGCTAGGGGATATTTCTGACCGCATCGTGAGGACATCTGCCACACTCCCCGTCAGTGATGTGCAGATGGCAGATTGACTGAAAGGCCCCCTCCACACACAAATCCTTCTAAAGGCGAATCACGTCACTTGTCTTCAGCCGTAGATGCAGCAATTAGGTCTTACAGGATGCAGGCGAGCTCGTTCTGTTATTGAACGACCGGAAAGCTCGATGTGGTGCATCATCTTCACTCCAAGTTTCCAGGGGGGCCACGGGGACCAGGCATGATAATACTTTTCCCACGATGATACGGTCCTGCGGCTTGCTTTTCAACTTGCAGCTTCGAGAAACCGGCTGTAACACATCTTTCGGAGAAGCAGGGTTCAGCTAATCCCCTTTTGACATGCGCGCAACGTTGATATGCGCCTAGACAACTTACCAGCCATGGGTCTAGTTAGCCATCTATTTCCCTGGCCAGCCAACCGATGGATCTTCGACCGGTTTGCTGGTGTAGTAAGTTAACTACCGGTGCATGTGCTGGAAAACGCTAAAACATAGTCAAGCAACGCAGCCGAAACTAGGGGGTGAACAAGCAATGACGCTATTTTCGGTTGCCAGGGGCTGAGCGCAAGGGTGGAAGATAAGTGCATCATTACCCCTCTGGCTGCAGACAGCCCTGCTCCCTGTGCAGCACGGCACTTGCAAGGCCTCATCCAGCATGACACCGTGGCACCAGGAGTCCAGGACTAGGGTCGTATCTACATTCTGTATACAGTGCATTTCACCAACGATCCGCGAGATGGTGCTTGCTCTGATTCCTATCTGGACTGCATGCAGATAGTTATTGGAACAAGCGAGGGATCGAACCGGTTAACTACTTATACAGCACGGGTAACAAAAGCACCCCAGGAAATAACCACGAGGTATACGGAGTATCATCTACCCAGTTGTATAGCCAGCAAGTTGTTCTATAGTTAATAGTTGGTGGTGCCGTCTTAATTACCGCTAGGCGAAAGATGCGACAGCGGCCGAAATCTTATAATACGTATGGTAGCTAGAATTATATTAACTAACCAACTGCCGTCGGGTATCTCAGAAACGCCTGATTCTTTATCACCTGTAAGTATGTATCAAGATCCCGCCCCTCCCCCAAAGCTACGTGGTTTAATTGCTGGAACCCCCCCCCCCCCCCCCTAGTCGATATAATAATACAAAGTCTAGAAGCACTCATAACCTTTCCGTACCTATATAAAATAAACTAACTCCTCCATGCTAGTTAGTTTATCCCCCGTCTATTGTGGGGATCACTACGTAACTAGCTCCTAGACAGGGCCATAAAGATGCAGCTCCTTCATGTTCAACGCATTCTCGCTTATAGGAGCAAGATGGTCCGGTCACTAGCGAGCCTGTGCTGTGCTCATGCCGCCCATCCAGTCTAGCAAAGGAGCAGCCAGCTACGCGAGAATCCAAATGCAAGCCAGAACTCAAAAAATCGTTAACGATAAGGCTACTTCGTTAGTTAAGTTAACTAGCTAGCGAGCTGTTCGCCTTTTGTCCAGAGCCAAGGCTTCTCCGGAGCATAAGTTAGGCGCCCTTGTAGCCACTCTTCCAGCCGTTGATTCTTCAGACGCCTCTTAAATTGGGCCATTGTTTGGGGGCTTCGACTACGCCCCACCAAGGATGTATGTCCGGTGCTCGGTTGCCGCGACTTGGCTGCGGGAAACAGAGAAGCCATTCAGAGGCTCGAGTTGCTGCCACTAATCTAGTTAAACGAATTGGAAATGATCGCCATGGGGCAACGAGCTCTAGCTAACGAGCCCATGGCTCCCAGCCGTGAGCGCGCATCGATGGAACGAGGAAAAACAAAAGAAGACGCCAGTCCTCCGTACGGAGTATCCCTGTCAATAGTAGCTCTGTTAACTAAAATAACAAGCAAGTTAAACTAACGACTTCAGGATGCTTCGTCCGTCCGTACGGCTGCAAAAGGCAAAGCTGCTGCATCCTAACAGCCGGCGCGATAACCTGCAACTATAAACCGGTGAGACTGATGGCCTTCACATCCAAAGGGGAGCATCCTTTACCGGGACCGACTGCACCCTATCTACCTATCTACGGAGTAGATCCTTTCAAGTCATCATCCCTGGACCAGGTAACTAACTATAGTACTCCGTAACATTGGCTCAATTAGAGCTGATGGAAACAGGCGGTTGATATCCCTCGCACTCTGTGCAACCTCTTCGAAAACAAGACAAGTGCCAAATGGTCCCTTCTTTATCGCCCCCCTGAAGTCTGGTGCATTTAGAAGGGCCACATCCTCTTCCTTTGTGATTTTCGTTTGAGAGTTCGGCTCTGTGACTAGCTGCTCTGCTCTACTCCTTGCAATGGCATGCTCGATTGAGGTTGAGAACGTTTTCGGCCCTTCAGTGGCTGGCTCATGTCTCGGAGGATTCGACTTCACTCTCCTCTTCGAAGAAAGCATTCTGACCTTACCTCCTCTGGGCATTGCAGGTAATGTGCTTCCATGACTAGTTATCCTCTCCAACCTCGGTGCTGACCCGTTGGCGTGTCTGTCTAGTTGCGTGGGCAATTGTCCGACTCCTCGCCCTTCGCCGCGAGCCAGCCAAAGCACGAAGATCATGGCTCGCCGCACTGAAGCTGGTACGTGTCATATTTTCCTCGTCTTCTTTGTCACCGTCGTCGTCATCTCCTCCCTCTCCGTCTCCTGCTTCCCTCCCTCCCTCCCTCCCTTCTGCCCTTCTGTCGGCGTTTCAGGTCGAAGCAGTCGCTAGTTCGTTAAACTAGTGAGGTTGATGCCGCGACGTCAGCCTAAAGTTAGCCGGTGAAACTTTGTTAACATCACGTGACAGGCAACCTACGCCGTCCTCGTCGCCCTCCAGACGGCGACGCTCGGCCTGTATGCGCGGCATCAAGCGCCCAAGACGAGACTGACGCTGGCCTGCGCTAGCCTGACGGTAGCCGGGTACTGCGTCCTGGCAGCCGTCTCGTATCTCGAGCATGTACGCTGCGTGCGGCCGTCAACGCTGCTGAATGTTTACCTGGGCGTCTCCACGCTCTTGGACCTGGCGAGGACTCGCAGCCTTTTCTTCATCCAAGACAGCCATACTGTGGCGTCGATATCCCTGGCTGCTTTCATTGTCAAATCTCTGGCCTTTATCCTAGAGGCTACCGAGAAGCGTCACCTCCTGCTGGCAAAGTGGAAAGATGCTTCTCCCGAAGCAACAAGCGGTGTTGTCAACCGATCGCTCTTCATATGGCTAAATCGCTTGTTCATCAACGGTTTCCAGACGTTGCTAACTGTCAATACGATAACCCCTATTGACGAGGAGCTGCTGGCTGCGTCTGAGCCAACTGCCCTTCTAGAAAAATGGGAAAATGGTACGTTTGTTGACTCCTTTAACTTTTCTGGTTTCCCAATCCATCGTATTTCGGGGTTGCTGACTTAGTACTCGTAGCTGATAAAGCTAAGAGATACGCCCTGTTTTGGGTGTTTTTCACTCATTATAAATGGTATATCATGGCCGGCATCTTGCCACGATTAGCGTATACCGGCTTTAGCTATTCACAGCCCTTTCTCGTCCAACGGGTCCTCGACTTTACTGCCCAGGCCCCTCATGCTCAGACAAGCAATATTGCCTACTCTCTTGTGGGGGGCTATGCTGTTGTTTATATTGGACTTTCAGTAAGTTAATCCTACTATCTGCTTATCAATCACTCCAAGTCCTTACACATGAATGAAGGTAGCATACGCGGTGTATGAGCATAAAACGTACCGTTTGCTCACTCTATACCGCGGTAGTCTGGTCACCTTTATATTTGGCAAGACTTTGCGCGTCGGCTCCACAAACGAGGACAATGCAGAAGCAATCACTTTGATGAGTGCAGATATTGACCGTATCGGCTACAGCATGACACTTGTTCACGAGGTTTATGCAGGCTTCATCGAGATTGCCATCGCTCTCTGGCAGTTGCACAGGCTCCTTGGAATCGCCATCGTTGCTCCCGTTGGATGGATTATCGGTATGACAACGTCTAATTCCCGACGCCTTGAGACAGGTCTAACCACTTCATAGCCTGCTTGATTATAGGGGTCCCTCTTGCAAAGGCAGCAGCCGATGCCCAAATCCCGTGGCTGGAAGCAATAGAAACTCGTCTTGCTGCCACTGCAAAGTCATTGGGCTCAACAAAGGCAATTAAAATGACCGGCCTAGCCGACATCGTGTCATCCCGTATTACAAATCTACGGTTGGACGAGATTCGTGCCTCGCTTCGCCATCGTGTCTATAGCATACTAGTATTTGTTGCAGGTGAGCGAAGCCAAATAATACTCCTAACAAGGAATGAAAAGATGGCTAATGATGAAACCTCCCAGCATTTGCTTCTTCTGAACTGGCTCCGGTGTGGGGCTTCACCGCATTCATCTTGCTGGCAAAGAAAAATAATACAGGAACATTGACTGAAGGAGTCGCTTTTGCTTCACTCAGCCTTTTTGAATTACTCAATCATCCAATGACCACTATTATTAATGGTTTCGAGAACCTTCAAACTGTTCTCAATTGTTTTGGCCGTATCCAAGATTACCTCAACTCACAGGAGAGAGTGGATTACAGGATACCACAGCACGATAGGAGAGATTCTTCAGTTTCCGGGCTTTCTACTCCTGCTGATACCCTGAAAGATACTATCATTTTGAAGGAGATACAGGACCCTGACTCAAACACCGATGCATTTGTAGCCTTTGTCGAGGGAGCGTCGGTAGGCTACACAATAGGAGGTGACTCGCCAATCCTAAAGAATCTTAACTTCCAGATTCCTCGTGGTGAAATCACCATGGTTTTTGGCGCCGTTGGCTCTGGAAAATCTACTCTTCTAAAACTGTTACTTGGTGAAATGCCGTGCGTATCCGGCTTAATAAGAACTGGCTTCTCTCTGGCTGCATATTGTCCGCAATCCCCCTGGGTTACGTGGGGGACTGTCCAAAGTAACATTGTTGGTATGAGCGAGTGGGATAAGAAGTGGTATGATACTGTTGTTTCTGCCTGTGCCCTTCGTACAGATCTTGAGGAACTGCCAAACGGAGATCAAACACACATTGGCACCCAAGGGTCGAGGCTTAGTGGTGGACAAAAAATGCGCGTGGTAAGTTACGGATAGGCTTTCCGTTAGAAGCGAACTATGTACTAAATGTGAATCCTGTTCTATCTAGTCCTTTGCTCGTGCACTTTACTCCAGGAACTCTACCATGATCCTTGACGACGTCTTGACAGGGCTTGATAGGGCAACCGAGCGGCACATGTTAGATGCAATTTTCGGGCCCAACGGTCTATTGAAGAAGCTAAAGTCCACTGTTATTCTTGCTACAAATTCTGGTAATCCTTGTCTTCATCCTATGGTTACCTAGCGCCTTGCTAATACTGGCAAATAGCGAGCCACCTTAGTTTTGCAGACAACATCATTTTTCTCAATGAAAATGGGGAAATTGCTCGTCAAGGCAACCTGGAAAGCTTTTCAGCAGGTGATGATATCAAACAACTTGCGAACCAATGTCAAACAACTACTACATCTCGTCCAGAGCCACAACTCTCAGAAGACGTGCTGCATGAGCTTGAGATACTAGAAGATCCTGAACTTGAAAGTAGCCGTATGACTGGGGACATGAAAGTATATGCCTACTACGCAAAAAACGCCGGGTGGTGGACTATCTCACTTTACCTATTAGCGTGTTGTGCTTTCGTTGTCGGTGTCACTTTCCCCTGTAAGTCTTAGAAGCCATATTGCTATTCCATGACCTTGCTAATATTTCTAGCCCTTTGGTTACAATGGTGGACGAATGCCAATGATACTAGGCCCAACGAACGTATTGGGTACTGGCTTGGAGTATATAGTGGACTTGCTTTCCTTGCAATCTTCAGCGCTACACTCTCTGACAGGTTTGTGCCTTATCAACGCGTTAATGTGGCTCGGATAGCTTCAACTAACCCCTTCGTAGTGTTTTCAACCTAGTGGTGCTCCCTAAAACTTCGCGAAGGTTCCATGACGTGCTCCTAACTACTACTATGAGGTATATCTTTCATTATAGAGCCTGCGTAAGAGTCGCATCCGCTAACCTTATATATAGAGCTTCAACATCCTTCCTTACTTCAACTGATGCCGGAACTACGGTTAACAGGTTCAGCCAGGACCTAGAGCTTATTGACAATGATCTACCCCAGTCTATCGACCAAGCTGTTTTTCAGTTTCTCTCTGCAATCGTTTCTGGTGTATTCGTCTTCATAGGGGCAGGTTACATAGCAGCGGCCGTCCCTCTGTGCATAATTGTGCTTATCGGGGTTCAATTCTTTTATTTACGAACATCCAGACAATTGCGACTGTTGGATATCGAAGCCAAGGCGCCTCTCTTCTCACAGTTTCTAGAGACAGTTGGTGGTGTTGCCTGCATCCGCGCGTATGGATGGACGCAGAGATACACAGAGCGTCACTACAAAGTCTTGAATATATCTCAAAAGCCATATTATCTCCTTTGGTGTATTCAAAGATGGCTTACCCTTGTCCTGGACCTATTGAATGCTGGGCTTGCAGTTATGTTGGTCGCAATCGCAACCAATGTTCGCAGCGCGTCAACACCCTTTCTGGGTGTGGCACTGTTTAATATCGTGACGTTTAGTTCCACTCTCCAAACACTGGTAACAGCCTGGACCCAATTGGAAACTGCACTTGGAGCAATAAACCGAGTACGCTCCTACTCCCAGGATGTGAAGGATGAGAACCTCCCGAATGAAAATGGCAGTGTACCTGATGAATGGCCCGAGTCTGGCGCCATTGCGTTTAATGACGTATCTGCGTCGTATGACCCTTCTCTAGGCCCAGTTTTGAAAGGGGTTAACTTGTCCATCAACGCTGGCGAGAAAGTTGCCATTTGTGGCCGGACAGGCAGGTGAGTTCCTCTTATTCAGCCCTGCTTTATCTCCTCCTAGTATGTGATTGTGCTCACCATGCAGTAGTGGCAAATCTTCTCTTGTGTCATGCTTGTTGAGAATGCTAGAGATGGATTCTGGGACGATTTTGATTGATGGCATTGACATTAGCACAATCTCCCGACAGCAGGTTCGAAGTCGGCTAAATACACTTCCCCAGGAACCGTTCTTTTTATACGGCACTGTCCGTGACAACGTTGATCCCCTACAACTTGCGGACGATGAAGCTGTCATAGGATCTTTACAGGCCGTTGGTTTATGGGAGTTTTTGGAAGCCCGTGGTGGCCTTGATGAGGAGGTCAGCGAGGATAAACTTTCCCATGGTCAGCGGCAGCTGTTCTGCCTGGCTCGTGCGGTGGTCAAGCAGGGGAATATTCTGATCATGGACGAAGCCACCAGCAGTGTAGATGCTGAGACTGATAAGGTAATGGAGGATGTGATTCGTGAGAAGTTCAAGGGCATGACCGTTATTGCTATCGCTCACAAACTCGACACAGTACTTGACTATGATCGTGTTGTGTTATTAGACAAAGGTGAGATTATCGAGACAGGAAATCCCAGAGAACTCCTCGCAATACCTGATTCGGCATTCCATAAGCTCTATGAGAAATTAGCTACTGAAGGAACGCATACGGAATAATGAGATGGCTCGATCATAGTCTCCATTGATCCAGTGAAGCAATAGCAGGGAATAATCATTTTAAAGCCACGACTTATCGTAGCAACTACTTGTGAGAGTCAATGGGCAAAAACTTTCCTCTTATAGCAACTATATTCAGGTAATAATTCGATTCAAATGCCACTCTATCTAGCGTAAGACCCTATCAAATACTTGTCTCATTAACTAACTAGGTAGTTCCGTGACTAGCAAAAAGGGTATTCCCCGTATTTATTTTGGTATGCATTAGCAACAAGATCTAGAGTCTCTTCACTAGGAAGTATATCAAATCCATTTGTGTTTCTCTCGCGTACCTGCCGTCTATTTAGCGGCCCATTATTGCGTTCTATCAGTAGTTTCAGAATAATAAGGATATCCTGTATATCTGTTGGCACCTTGGGATGGTCAGGTTTGCTATTTATCCGCCGTAGTTTCGACTCAAGACCCCATTCTAAGGGTGCACCCAGTACTCTAAGATTTGGTCCCTCGTAGAGTATAATATTTTGGTTACCCGCAGCATTGAAGATCTGTTCGCGAGCTTTCTGGGTAAGGAATAAGGAGACATCATCATTTAGCCATTTGCGATTTAAGCCAAGTTTCTTTCCAACTGATGAGAATAGTTCTCTAAGTGCTGGTATAATATCCTTGTCTCCTATCCATTGGGGATCGATAATAATATCAATATCCTCTGTCGTTTCACGGCTTTTCAAGTATGAGACTGCAAGGAAACCGCCAGGCGAGATCACGGTGATAGGGGAGAAGGCATAGATCATCTCGTTTTCGCCCATGGCACGGTCGAGTTCAACGAGTCCTAATTCTCGGGGTCAGGGTCTGTTATCAAGCAGCTGGAGGGAGGGAGGGGTAACGGATGCTAGTTACCCTTTTGCATCTCCTCGATAGTAAGCGTCTGTCGCTCCATGGCTTGCCCAACTAGTTAAGTTATTCCTTCTGGGTGATCACACAGGTTGAGCTAGGTAGTACTCCGTAGTTATGTCGCCGGTTACTAGTCAGTGAACCGAGTCGAGGCAGTTTCCTCCTGGGTGCACCGCACAAAGATAAATCTGACCGCTGCCGCCGAGTGAAATCCCACCCACCCCATGGATGACTTGTCACTCGCGGCCTACCTGCATGGATGTAGTTACCTGTGCGTCGTGCGGGATCTCCCTTCCCTTCCCATCCGGTGTCAGATGATTACATAAGTTATATCTATTACATAATCCGTATGACATAATCACTTACGGGATAACTTATATCCGCTTATCAGATCGCCGGCCCGGCATCCATGTCCATCCATCCACCATCCACCATCCAAAGATCCACCTGAATCTGCAGCGAAAGAAGAGCTTTTTCTACCTAATCTGCAAAGCTCGACAGCTTCGGTCTCAGCCTTGGACAGCTTCAGACGGCGTTAGACGGCCTCAGATACAGCGGATATCGCGTCAAATACTGAGGGTGCAGCTAAGTCATGGCCTACCGGGGCCAGGAAGGCAGATACCCCGACCACGGCGGCCTTCGTTACAGCAGACCGTCGCCCCCAGACTCGAGACAGAGATACGATTCCCCTGGCGGTACGGAGCTGCCTCACTCTCCGCGTTCTGGCCCTTTCCCTTACGGAGTCCTCGCTTTTACTTCTGCTTGACTCTCCCTTTTCTTTGTATTGTTGTATTGCGGCTCCGAGCCTGTGCTGATAGGACCCAGACATGTATTACCGCGACCGTGACCGTGACGCCCAAGATGCCTGGACGGCTGACAGGAGGCGAGAAGACAGCGCAGACGAATATCGTGGTAGTAGGGATTGGGAACCCTACAGACAGTCATCTCGATCGCCGCCGCCGCACCGGGGGCGCTACCGGGGCTGGGAAGGTGGCTACAGAGACAGAGACAGAGACCGTGAAAGCTACCGATCCCCTCCCAGATACGACTATGATGCGAACTATAGTCACAGCCGCAGCCGCAGTCACTCCCACAGCCGATCACGCAGTCGAGTTCGAAGTCGACCTCGGAGTCGAGCGCGTAGTCGAAGTTATAGTCGCAGCAGAAGTAGGAGTGCCAGTCGGAGCCGTAGTGGACGCCACACACGACCATTGCGGCACTACGGGACGGAGAGCAGGGAGGTCATGATGGAGGGCCTGCCAGTTGACATGGTCGAAGAAGACGTTCGAACAGCCCTCCCCGTTTTCCTGTCGTCTGGCTGCATGCTGAGATGAAATCGATTTGTCCCTCTATATAGGTTTCCAGTGAACTTGCCCAGTACTATCATGTTCGGGGCCTCGAGGACGTCCGAGTTATTCGCGACAAACAAACAAGTGAGTACAGTACTCCATAACAACTTCAAATATACGTATTCTGCAAACATCTAACAGACTTAGAAATATCACGGCAACTTGCATTTATCCGCTTTCCTTCCATTGATGACTCGCGTAAATTCCTGGAATTGAACTTCCCAGCTGTATACCTGTATGGCAAAGCCGGGGGCGATGGCCAGGGCGCAAGGGTCAGGATTGCCTACAGCCGTGAACGAGAGGACCGTAACAGGGCTCGAGCCGACGGGGAATGGACCTGTATTAATGTGAGTTCCATTCAGGTACCCTCGTTTTTATGCTCGTGGGCTGACATGTAAAATAGTGCTCAATTGTCAACTATCCTGGTCGACAACGGTGCTTCCGCTGCCAGGCATCCAAACCAGGTATGGCCGAAAAAAAGAAGCAAAATTATATACAAGAAATGATATGTACACGTGCATATCGGGACCTATATAGAGTCTAACATTGGTAGATATTGCCGTACCGCCCGTGGAGGAGACTGTCAAGGTAGCTAACTACGGGGACAACGATGTTTCAACCGACGGCACTCCCTCGCAGTTTCTCCTCTTCCGAGGCCTCGAATCAAGCGTTACCGAGGAAGTGCTGGCCAAGGGCGTTGCGAAGCTTTGCAAACAGTCCAAGTCCGCTGCGGCTTCGGCCTCATCTGGTTCATCCGGGGTCGGTGGAGCACCGGCAAAGAAAGTCGCCAAGGTCGCGTCTACAACCGGCGATAGCAACCTCGGGGCTCGAGATGGGTCAATTCGTCGTGTTCTGTTGGTACGAGATCGCCGAACGAACGAAAGCTGGGGTTATGGATTTGCGGAGTTTGCGACTGTGGAGGACGCTCAGTGCGCTCTTACTCGCTACACATCCCTCGACACCTTTACCATCTCCTCGAAGCCAGTGCTCGCCTCGTACATCCACGCTGGCGTGTTTGTACCGGTTCTTAATCTCAACCCAGGTGTTCATAGCAGCACTACAGGTACGAACAGTGAGCTTGAGCGATTCACCTTTAGCCCCCTTGGCAATTTGGCTGCGAAGCTGGCTTACTGGGATGAGGAGGCATATGCCAGCGAACTCAAACTTGCCACGGCTGCTGCCACGAGTGAGCTCAGTGGAAAGGCAGGGGGAACGGCCTCCGCCTCCGCACAGAAGACGAGTGCTGCCAGGGCGGCGCACCCTGGTCGGGATGGGGAGAAAGAGAAGAAGAGGAAGAAAGTGGAGGCGACAGCAGGGGCTGCTGCTGGCTCTGCAACGAAGAAGATCGCCATGGCTTCGCATCTCCAATTCTGGAGCAATCGCCATGCGGAGTTGCATGGCATCGATAGGCGCAGCGCCGAGACGGGCGATGGGGATCACTTCAACGACCCCGGCACGGCCGCTGCCCGATCACAATCCCAGTCGCAGGCATCAACACCACATCTCCAACCGGTCCAGCAGCAGCATCAGCAGCATCAGCAGCCAGTTCAGCCAGAGCAGCCACATTTACAAGGACAGCAGTCCTACGCCGACCTTAACCGACTGTGTTGTTATCTATGCATGAGAGAGTTCAAATCAGAGGCCCACGTTCGCCAGCACGAACGTCTGAGCCAGCTGCACCGCGAGAACCTGCAAGATGAGACACTGAAGGCCAAGGCACTGGCTAAGCTGGCAAAGAAGCGAACGCTCGCAGCGGACCAGACAGAGTATCGCGATCGCGCCAAGGAGCGGCGGAAGGTGTTTGGTTCGTCGAAGAGTAGGAAGAGAGAGGCTGAAGATGACCGCCAGGATGAGTACGAGCAAGGGCCTGGCAGTAACCCCGTTGGCTCTGATACTGCTGCCAGCCCTCCACCAGCGCTGTCCAAGGGTGCTGCCTTGCTAGGGAAGATGGGCTGGTCGGCTGGCTCTGGTCTCGGGGCGGAAGGGACCGGCATGAAACAGCCGGTAGCAGCAGACTTGTATGTGCAGGGCGTGGGTTTGGGTGCCCAGGGTTCAAAGGTTGGAGATGCAGTCCAGGAAGCTGGCCGAAGCACGCGTGGGAAATATGATGAGTTTCTCGAGAAGACTCGAGAACATGCCCGCGAGAGGTACGAGAGGATGAAGGACGAACAGGGCTAGCCATGTCCATCCAGGTACATTATCTCAAACTATACTACTTGGTAGAAAAACCATAACGGTAGACCCGGCTAAAAGGGGTGTACCTTGGTAGATGTGATTTGGAATTTTTAGCGCCCGTTTTATCTTGACTTTTTAATACAGCAGAGCAAGCGGATGCTCGCGAGTTAATATATATAAGATTATGATAACGAACAAACCGTTAAATAGGGTTGTATTCAGTGGAGGGATCCATAGAAGATGCCAGGAGTTAGTAGTATACAAATTCTTTTCTAGTCTTACATGCAGAAACATTCTAGGATTATTAGGGTATCATCACCTCTCTTTCCCCCGCTCATTCAACCAGGTTTTTCGGATTTCATCCTGTGCCCGTTGCTTCTCGGCCTCCTTCGCATTTGCGTTCTCCTTGCTGGCCTTCCGATTCAGCACGGAGACAACCCATTCCTCCATGTCTTCCTCCACCTGCTGTTCCGTCCTCCCCGTGCCATCAGCTCCCAATCCACCACGAACTATCCTCCGTAGCTCGTCGAGGGTCTCGAATCCAACGGCTTTCATCCCTGCTCCGACGCCGAGAATGGCCAGGGCCAAGACATTGAGAGTAGCGAGGTTGAGAGCCTCCAGGGCCTCAAGCGGTGCGCTGACGTTGGGTTTGTGGTGGGAGGCGGTAGTGTAGAACCGAGGGATAGCAGCCAGACGGCGGCGGTTGAGCGAGCGGCGAGTGATAAAGGTCGAGAGAACAAAGAAGGCTGAGCCGCCTATAAGCAGCTTTGTAGACGTAGGCAGTGAGAATGCAGACTGTGTAGATGGTGAAGCCGTGGATGCTGAGGTCGAGGCTGAGGATTGCGGTTGTTCAGGCTGTGGCTGCGGTGTCTCTCGCGCCATGGTGGCCATTGGAAGGTCGCAGAGCAGTGCTGCGGTATCGAAGAGGGTATCGCTTCGTATCCGCGTGCGTGTCTAGTATCTCTCCGGACTCGCTTTCTGCTCTCCTTCTAGCTGCTCGTTGCTGGCGCTGCTGAGGTTTGGCTGTCGACGTTGATATTTCCCAGTTGGGCGTTCTGGCTGACAAAGTCTGACGCCAAGCCTTGAATGCACATTATTTCCGTACGACGTCAACATCAACATCGACATCAACATCGACATCAATATCAACATCGACCATCGACCTCCAAAGGTCAACAACAGCCGACAACGAAAGGTCGAGCGACCAGCATACGCTACACCGATATCAACAGGTCTATCACGATCAACGAGCGGTGGCAGCAGCAGATGACTGATCTTCAACTTTGCACTACGGGCGACATCGCCATCTGATAGGGAGCGACCATAATTACTACGCTGGATGCTACACCGCAGGCTGCTAGGCCGCATTGATTCCGCACACCTGCAGCAGCGTGTTTCTATTCATATCCCGTGTGTCTATTTTCATATCTCAGCCATCGCTCGTATACGGGAACTGCTGTCGAATCAGTTCGTGCAGATCGAGGCTTGTTGAGAGCCATTCATGCTGGCCAGCTGTTCCTCTTGCTTGCTACTGCAACTTAAACCGAAAGCCACGCTGGACTAGCGTGCACCAACGCATACATACAGCCAGACAGAGAGTCAAGAGTAACTTTGACCTTGGAATGTAACATGAATGGGCACTCCTGAAGGGAAAAGATAAGGCATGACTTGTTCGTGGGCTGATGTGCATCGTAGATATACTTCTCCCACCGCCGTCCGTGCAGCATCTCTTGCCTATCAGATCGCCCAGGCGGTCTCGCTGCATGCTCGCCAAAATTAGATGCAAAATCAATTCCATCTCATCAGCATTAACTAGATGTATGTATCCAAGGAAGCCAAGCAGCTGCCGATGTTTCGACGTCCTCATTTTTCCTCCTCCTTTCCCCCCTTTCGCTGTGATGGGTCGTGCAGCGTTCGTTTCGGATATCACGAGGCTGAACGCAGTGCGGGCCGATAGTGGCTTGGGGGGAAGTTGGGTTACAAATTGTTTCGGCGAGATTAAGTCGCCATGAAGATCGAGAGTGAGAGATACACTCAAGTGCGTTTGACAATAATACAGAGTATTGTGTGAGGATGCATAAGATCGGAGGTACAACTCCCACGGAGGCGAAAGGAGGCAGCTCTCTCGGCACGAAAGGGATATCTCCCACACCCCATCACTATTCCCCAGGCCGAGCCGCTCGGCAACCCTCTGATTTGAAAGGCATGCCGGACGCAGGTCGCCTTCTCACGCCTGCCATGCGTTCATCCCTTGGTCTGCAGGTTCAGCATGGCCAGCTGCAAGCATGGGCAAGGGTGACGACAGGATGAAGGCTCGGCTCGCAGCGATCGACAGCGAAGAAGTTGACACTCTAAAATCGAGCAGCGCAGGTTCTCACCAGACTCAGGCTCTGTGAAGCAGAGTTTTCTTTCCTTGTACTCCGTAACTTCTTTCCTTTTTATTTTATTTTTGCACTTGCTCGTTGCTGCTGCTGCTGCTGCTCCCTGAGAGGGAGAAAATGAGATCGTATCGTGGTCATCCATGTTCCATGCATAGCCCGGACGTGTGCCTGTTTCAGGAGCCAGACACGGATACGAGCCATGAGGTGAGTCGATCAGTTCCTTCCCCCTTTACCCTATCTCTCTCTCTCTCTCTCTCTCTCTCTCTCAATATTTTGATCGAGTCCATCGATGCTTCAAAATACTTATCTATACTTCGCATGCAAAGCAACTTTCTGTCTGCTCAGGGGTGGCTGCTTTTGATAAGTCTCTTTTTCGATCTTATCAGAGACCCTCTTAGTCAGCATCAGAATGCCTCGGCTCGCTTGGCCTTCCCAAAACAGGATAGAGCCACCACTAAGCCCAAACGGGGAAAGCGCACCTTCACGTGGCTTCCAGAAGGAATATAATTAGAACAGAACACGTGATATTCGTATTAGTCACCCACGTGGAGAGCGATGGAATGGAAGGAACAATTCTCCGGGGGCGAAAGACCTAGCGGGCGACATCAAAGGGCCACCGGCAAGGATGAAGAAGGACGAGAGGGACTGAGGGCGAAGCAGGCAGGCTGGCCGGAGCAGCAGCCGGAGAAGCAGCCGGAGATGACTGCAGACAGGAGGGAAAATATGACACAGGTCGACAGCCCTGGCGACGGTGGTGCTGCTGCTGCTAATGATGATGATGACGATGATGCTGATGATGTAACAAACAGAACAGGGAAGGATGGGAGAGAGGACGTTGGGTTCTGGGCTGGCTTGCAGGGAGAGGGCAGGGCCGGCTAAGATGAGTTCGTCGAGAAGAACGGAAGAACTGGCAGGGAACAGGCTGTTTAGACGAACGGCCAGCAAGCCAGAAAGGGCGAGAGAGAGAGAGAGAGAGGGAGAGAGGAAGAGAGCAAGGCCAAGGGTTCTCGGCCGACTTGGCCGGCAGTGGCCGCCGACCAGGACAATGACTCAATTGTTTCCTGGATGGAAGAGAGTGGAGGAGAGGACGCCCTGGGTGGTACAGCAGCAGCTAAGCAACCTGCCAGCTGCACAGTCGTGCTCCGTACGACTATGGACGGCGGACGAGGGACAGACAAGAGACGGCGTTCTTGAGCTCTGCTTTTGTCTCGCCATGGCCATGCGAGCCTCCTGTCAATCGGTGTCATCCAGGAATCAGAGAGAAGAAGAGTCTTAGCAGGGCCAAACGAGATGGCGATCAGAGTTCGCCGGGCTGCGCCTTGGCTATTCCAGGGGCCCGTAATTTTAGTTACAAAAAAAAAAAAAAAGAACAAGGAAAAAGGAAAAAAAAAAGACAAAGGAAAAAAGGCAGATTGAAAGCAAAAAGCGATCCTCCACAGCGAACCAGAACCAGAGAACGGTCCGATCCTGCGTTTGGCCTGATGTTGGGAATGCGAGCTGCGCCTGGTTCGCCGAAGAGAGCATCGCATCGCCCGAGACAGGATCTCTTCATATATACTCGGCCGTCCTGCCTCTCTGCCACCGATCTTCCCTTTCTCTCTCACCATATATACTTACGCCCTCTACCACTCGACTACCAACGCTGAATATATCAGACTGTCTGTCCTGTCAGCTTGACAGCTAACGTTTCACCTAACCCTCTCGCCAACTCAAGGATCCTAGACCCGACTCCGTCCGTCTCATTTCGTCTCCCTACCCACCTGAAACGCCGCCGATCGCCCATACATCTTTGCTGCTCTCTCTGTGACGGACAACCGGGTGATAGAGGCCGCTGAGAAACCTGACTTTGCAGGCCCTTGGAAAGTCACTCGGCCGCGCTGCCCTTCGGCAAGATGGCCGTCGACAAGACCCCAGCTACCAGTCCCATAATAACAGCGGGCTCGTCCTCCTCCTCCTCTTCTGATGTTCTCAAGCCGCGCTCTCCTCTTGACGACCACCGACTCTCGTTCAACCACACCAAAGACCTTCACACTCATTTATCAAAACAGGCTTCACACGAATCTTCCTCTGGCAGGCAAGATCGAGGGCGCAGCAGAAGCAGAGAGTCAGAGAGAACAGTAGCCCCGGATAACGACGAGCTTCAGGTCACAGCCATGCCGTCAGGATCCGGCTTCCAGAACATCGAGGAGGCGGGCGAGAAGGCCCGCAAGAGAGACGACTGGATTGCCATCTCTAACTTCCACCCAGGGTAAGTCTGAACCTGTCATTAAGAATATCAAGGACAAAATCGAAAAACAGAATATATACTGACTGAATGGTGATAGATGGTTCTCCGTAAACATGGGCACTGGCATCACTGCCATCCTGCTCCAAAACCTACCGTACCAGTTCCCCGGTCTTCACTACATCGCCGTCATCCTCTTCATCCTCAACGTAATCATCTTCTTTCTCTTCCTGACCATCTCGATCACCCGATACTGCCTATGGCCCGACAAGTTCAAGGCCATGCTCGCACATCCCGCTCATTCTATGCTTCTTGGAACCTTCCCCATGGGTTTCGCCACAATCATTAACTGTATCGTTTTCATTTGCGTACCTGTTTGGGGTGAGTGGGCTTCCAGATTTGCCTGGGGCCTGTGGTGGATTGATGCCGCCGTATCAGTCGCCATCTGCTACTTTGTCCCCTTCATGCTGTAAGTTGAACCTCACAAGATACCTTTTTTTTTTCCCAGACCTTGTTGGCTAACTAGAGAAGAATGACCAAACATACCTCTTCCCTCGAGACGATGACGGCAGCCTGGTTGCTCCCCATCGTGGCTCCCGTTGTCGCGGCCGCCTCTGGAGGTGTGGTTGCTGATTCACTCCAGAACGACACCCACGCTCTCATCACCATCCTCGTCTGCTATGTCATGTGGGGATCTGCCGTCCCCTTGGCCATGGTCATCCTCGTCATCTACTTCCAGCGTCTTGCCATACACAAGCTGGTTCCTCGAGCAGCCATCGTCAGTGCCTTATTGCCCATCGGTCCCCTTGGACAGGGTGGCTTCGGTCTCATGCAGCTTGGTGTCGTAGCCAAGCGTGTTTTCCCAAGAGTAAGCCCCTTCCCCAATCTTCCTAGTTTCCTTGCGGGGAAAACTGTTGTTCAGAATGCTAACCGTCGTATAGCTTGATTTCCTTGCTCCCATTGCCGGTGACATCTTCTATGTCATGGGTGCATTCATCGCCATGATTATGTGGGGATTCGGTCTGATCTGGCTGTGGTTTGCCCTGGCCAGTTTCACCCGCGGAAAGTTCTACTTCAACATCGGCTGGTGGGCATTCACTTTCCCGCTTGGTGTTTTCACCACAGCCACCACTCAGATGGGCAAGGAGTTCAACTCTCCTTTCTTCGACATTCTCGGAACTGTAAGTCTTTTGAGTCCTTAGTTCACAAGCCTGTGTTATATTGGAGAATGTGTACTAACCTGGCTCCTCTCTCTAGTTCTTCTCTATTGTTGTTACTTGCATGTGGGTGCTGGTTTTCGCCTTGACGGTGTATAAGTCATGCACCAAGGAACTTTTCCGATAGAATCCTCATCTCTCACCAACGATCAACTGCCACGACCATATACCTCTTTTCCAACCTTCATGCTTGATGCTGTCGGCACTGAAAAGGCTAGGCTTCTCTTCGTTTCTCGTCCTTCTCTCCTAACCGTTTCTTTTTTTCTCCGTCTCCTTCAAAAAAGCCCACCCAGTTTCATCTCCTGCACATAGTACTCCGGCTCGACCTCGCACATATACCATTCTTCGGGATACCTTTTTGCCAGCATCTCTTCGCTTCTCTCGTTCTTTGCATGATCTTTCGGTCTTGAGGTCATCGTCCTTTTTTCTTCATCTCTTTTTTATCTCCTAATCATGCGCAATGTGGTACCGACTTGTGGTTCTTCAACAGGATATATATAGACAGCGAGCATTAATATAAACCTCTCAGATTCATATTCTCTTTTTTTCGCCGCGGTACTTGGTACCTGTCTTCTCTTGGTATCTGGTATCTTGTAGAGATACATATTTGCCTGTTATCTGCAGTGTTATTGTTCAGTGACATGACATAGCATCGGTGGAATAACACTGGGGTTAACCCAGGGTCAAAACTGCGTTGCTGCAACGACTTATCAATAATCAATATCAACAACCGTGGAGATATCAATAATATGAATCACGACAGCGAAACCCCGCCTTATAAGCACGACAGAAAAAGAAAGCTGAAGAGGTCGGTGAGCCCAATGAATAGCGCATCCATCCATGGCCCTGGAGGCCAAGAGGCGGCTGGCGGAACCGCGGGCCTCTCTTCCCGCCGCACGCAATTGGCCTCCAGTCTCGCCTGTCACGGCCGCATCTAAGTAGGATCAACCACCACTTCTTCCCGACAACACTGCCGCTGGACATAAACTCGCGAGTTAATCTACTTAAGTATCAATAGTTGACGGAGACGGAGCATACTTGTCATCTACAGCTATGACGGGGAAAAGGGGGACAAGAAAGACAGAGAGGGACGCCATGGTGGACGAAGAGCAGCACGAGCAGACGCCCGCCCATCTCAACCCAGCCAACTTCCCGCAGCGCCTGGCGCATCCAGAGGCCAACATCCGGGTTGAGCTGACCTACAGTCCTCTGGCGCCCTCGGAGTACACAGCTCACGTCCGCTCGCCCCATGCCGGCGCAAACATCCTCTTTCTGGGCACCACACGGTCCTCCTTTGCGGACAGGCCGGTTGCGCGGCTGGCGTACTCGAGCTATGCGCCCATGGCCCTCGAGACTATGATGGCTATCGCCAGGGAGTCTACTTCCAAACATGGCCTGACGGGTGTCAGCATTGCCCACAGACTCGGCGAGGTGGCTGTTGGAGAGGAGAGCATCGTGGTCGCGGTGAGTGCGGCACATCGAGGGCCGGCCTGGCGGGCGGCAGAGGAGATCCTAGAGAAGTGCAAGGAGAAGGTCGAGATATGGAAGAGAGAAGACTTTGCCGATGACAGCTCGTCTGCCGAGTGGAGGGCCAACCGAGACCGGGACGCGGATGGAAAGCCGGCCCAGTAGTTAAACGATTTCTTGGAGGGATAGGCCTGTTTACATGTTGCTATTATTACATCTATCGTATATATATCGGGCTATACGGAGTATAGTATTGTACAGGAGGAGGGAGACTTGTCTTGTCCTTTTTGCTTTAATTTCCTCACTACTTCCTACTGGGAGTCACATCCAGGGGCTTGCCAGCCCTCTTCCAGTCTCCAATATGGTCCAGGATGACCTTTGATGCCGTCTGGGGTGTGTCCTGCCGTCCGATACACTCGACAAAATCGCCTTCAGGATCTACAATGCTCTTGTTGTTAGTATGTTCTTCTTCTTATCCTTCGGTAAAGAGTGGTGGTGACAGGGGATATGCTAACCCATTAGGTAGAAATATATGCTGTGGTCAACCAGGTAGTCCTCGCCGGGCTTGATGTTCTGCGGAGTGCTAAAGTAGACCCGATACTGGCGACAGACATCCTTGACTTGCTCGTACGTGCCCGTCAGGCCGATGATGTCCTTGTGGAACTCGTTCAGGTACCCTCTTAGCACCTCTGGGCTGTCTCGGGCCGGGTCACAGGTGATAAAGACCGGGCGCATCACCTCCTGCCCGTTCGACCTAGCCCGTACCTCGTCGATGATCTCGGCCATCTTGTCAAGCTCGTCCGGGCATATGTCAGGGCAGTGTGTGAAACCAAAATAGACCTGTTTCGTCAGTCTCATGTGCTTACTTGTGTTTGTTTCCGAGCGTGAGTGTAGATAGTAGTCTTCCTTACAAAGCTGTATTTACCCTTGAGATTCTCCTCCGTGAAGGTCTCTCCATTGAGATCCTTGAGCACAAACGGCCCGCCTACTCGAGGCTTCCCAACGCCTTTGCTCATCTCCACGATCCGTTCTCGCTCCAGCCGTGCCTTTTCATACTGGAAATAGACAATCATGCCAGCTCCGGTGAGCACGAAGAGAACCGCCGACTTCCATGAGAACGGTCCCGTAGAAGAGCGCGCCTTGAGTTGTTCGATGGTCTTGGCCGGCCGCACCGTGGATGTAGAAAAGGCATTGGATCTGTCCGGACGAGCCTGTCTGCTTAGAGGCCGCAGCGAGTGTCTCGCCGTCTCTGCTGTTCGTGATAGCAGCTGGCTGTATTGTCTGATCTGGTAGGGCCTGTGGGCGCATTGCTGGGCCGCCCGTAACGACGGCGGCAGCATCGACGACATGGAAGCAGACGCCATCTCTGCTGCTTTTCCGTGTCTCTCTTCTTCTTCCTTTCTTCCTCTTTATCACCTTATCACCCTTTTCTCTATCCTTCCTCTCGTTCGCAAGTTTCGTTTCGTTTTCTTCCAATCGCTGCGGGAAGTTCGTGAATTGAACAGGTCGCTTAGGTAATGGCAGTCAATATATCACGTGATGGGAATACGGGCCGAAATTTTGCCGATATAAAAATGAGGGTAGGTCCCCGTCGGGTGACGATCTAGATACCTACAATAGAACCTTGGAAGCTAGGTAGTATGCAATAGAGAAAGCAAGCCTACGGACGTGTTCTGTTTTAACTCCCCAAGTAATGCGATTCATGCCTATCTATGCTATGCTGATGCTGGAGCGAGAAAAGGGGGGTCCATCGTCTGGCTGTCTAGAGGATCAACCAAAAATTTCCAGGAAGTAGTTGGCTACTGAATGAGGATACCAGATGCCGGTCAGGGGCGTGTAAAAAGCATGAGGAAATGATAGGAAGCTGGAAAGAGAGAGAGAGCGTAAGCGGTAGCTAATTGGTACATAATAGGAATACCGGGGCATAAGCAAAGCAAGAAAGGGGGTTATTTCTAGCAAGAGGGCGTGGATAAGATAGACATCAAACATACCAAAGTATGAAAAATAAAAGGACGGAAAAAATAGGAAATCAAGATATAATAAGGAGGAGAAAACGCCGGACTCCGCGGATATTAGGTATGGGATGGTCATTCTGGAGCGTATTAAGACGTATTAGGTCTGCTGGAGGGCTTTCTTTTAGAACATTAGAACTGGCAAAAAAAAAAAGACGTGAGACAGACATAAGATAGGAAAGCACATAGGAGATGGGACATAGGAGACGGCATTAAGATGGTAAAGCGCTGGCTATTGCATGTTTCGACTGGTCTGGCTGGCACGGCTGGGGCTGGTACGACTTCGCTCGTCCTCCTCCAGTACGTCGCTGAGGCGGGTCGGATGGCGATGCCGGGGAGTGACCGAGTCCCACCCTGAACCGCCAACTCCCCAACCGGATCCACTGTAGTCGACTGGGGCGGGATAGCCGATGTGACTGTCGTCCGCAGAGCTGGTGCCTGCTCCTGGGGAGCCATGGGGCCCGGAGCCATAGGTAACATAGTTGTCAAACGGCTCTGTGGTGTAGTCGTCACTATCATCGGACATGGCGCGAGGGTAGGAGAGTTGACGTCCGTCAGAGACATGCTGAGTACCGCCGCCGTTTGTGACGGCGATAGGAGCAGTAAGAGAAGCAGCACCGCCGACAGTGGTTGTAGGGGCGCGGCCGTCTTCGGATAGGTCATTGCCGACGCCTGCTTGGGCACCTCCGTGGATGGCCTGGCGGTTATGCTGGTAGAAGTGGCCTCGACCGCTTTCAGTCTGGCGAGGAGGCTGGGGAGCTTCAGGGACAACGGGGGGGTTTCCTGCTTCAATAAAGGGGTCTGCGTCGTGTCCATCGTCATCATACCCAGTTGACTCAGTCGTCTCCAGCAAGGGGCGTTGCTGGGACTGGCCTCCCATTGAGGTCGCGCTAGGGCCGCCCGGATAAGGGCCCTCCCTAGTGGGGGGACGGTTGGCGGTGCTGGTGTGTCTGCTGGGGACGGACTGTAGCATCGGTACGACCTGGACGCCGCCAACGATCGTGGGCTCGCCATTCCTGAGCGAGATGGTACGGTCTCGCTCTTCCTGCTCTCTGCGGCCGAGCTCTTCCCAGGCTCGCCGGGCCTCGTCTCGGGAGATCTGCAGTTCGCGCCGGACTTCCCTGGCCAGCTCCTGGGCCTTGGCCTTGTCGCTCTCGGCCTGCTTAAGGGCGGCTATGGCGTCAGCACGGGCCTGGCGCTCAGAGCTGAGCATACGCTCGAGCTCTGCGCGCACCTCTTGAGCCCTTTCCTGTTCGGCGCGGGTGTCGAAGAACCAGCGCTGGAACTTGCGTTCAGATGATGCTCGGAGACGCTGCAGCTCGACGACTGCGTGGAACAGGTTAGCACCGGCAGCAGAGAGGTCGGTAACCTGTCGAGACATTTGCTGGCTGAGCGGATCCTTGCTGAGTTCCTCGTTGTTCTGCTCCAGACGACGGATCCAGTAGCTTGTCAGGCCCTCCCAGTGCGAAGAGAGCATCTCCCACCGTTCAAAGGCGTGAGGAAATGCAGCTTTACCCCTAGATGGTTGTTGTTGTTGTTGCTGATGCTGCTGCTGTGGTTGGTGCTGAGGCTCCTGCTGGCCACCTGGTGCAGGTTGACTGGCCTGTGGTTTGGATGAGCTGTCTGGTAGCTGTTGTTGTTGTTGTTGCTGCTGTGAACCACTGGCCATTTTGGCCGCCTGTGAGGTGTTCGGCCGCTGTCTGGCAGGCTTTTGCGTGTCGTCAGCAACGATCCGGACGGTATCTTGCCTGCCACTCTGCCTTGGGCCAGAATCCTGGGAGACTGTGATGATTGGGGCCGACTGATGTACCTGAGCCTGAGCCTGAGCCTGGGCCTGGGCCTGGGCCTGAGCTTGGAGTTGTAGCTGCGCCTGCTTCTGTAGCTGCTCCTCTCTCAGTTTGGCCTCCTGCTCGGCCTTGAGCTGGGCTCGTTCACGCTCCCGCCGCCGTCTCATGATATCGGTTGGGGTGCGGACACCGCTGGGAGCATGGGTGGCACCCGTAGTGCTGGGTGCAGGTACAGACAGAGGCTGCTGCCCGGGCCCCATCCCGTTCCTACCGGCGGCAACGGCTACACCGTTGTTGTTGTGGTGATGCTGGCTGCTGCGGCCGTTGGCAACATCTGCTGGTGCGGTCTCGAAGAGCTCCGACATGGACGCGTTGAGCTCGGCCGGGTCTGCAGTAAAGGGATAAGGGGTGCGGATGGCCTCTTCAAGCACCCAGAGGATGGCCGAAGTGGTGCTGGGGGAGACCCTGATGCTCTGCGCCGGCCAGTACGAGGACGCAGTGCCTTGACGAGTGCTACCCTGACGAGCTCCCTGCCGCGAGTCCTGCCGTGGGCCCTCCTGCTGGGTATCCTCGAGCCTCTGCTCTATAGAATCAAGGGTAAGCTGCCGGCGTGGTGTCGGTCTCTGCTGTGTCTGCTGTGTCTGCTGTGTCTGCTGTGTCTGCTGGGTGTGAGGGTGTTTCTGGTCGGGCGAAGGGCTCTGGCCGGCGGTCTTGAGCAGGGCAGCTCGTCTCTGGTGGCGTCGCTGGCGCTGCCTTGATGGCCGGGCAGAGGTAGATATCGTAGACTGGTCGTGGCGGTCGTTGGTCTCGTCAAGGCGGGTGGAAGCAGAAGGCGACACGGCGGGAAACACGGGCTGCAGCGCGGACGTCAACGTGAAAGCCGGCGAGTCGGGCTGCGTCTCGGGCAGGGAAGAAGGTCAATTGGTCTCTGCTGCTCCGGCTTCGTGGCTTGCTCTCTCTGGTGTCCTCCGGCGCTGCGGGAGTGGAGGACGTAGTAGATGTTGCTGCTGCTGCTGGCTGTAGGGGGGGATGCTGGAGGTCAACGCCAGCAGACAAGGGACCAAGGTCGGGACGTCGAACAGAGAAAAGAAAAGGTCGACGGAAGACAGGAAAGAAAAGAAGCAGAAGAAGCAGAAGAAGAAGAAGAAGAGGAAGCAGAATCAAGAGACGGACGAAGCTGGTTTGTCTCCTGCAGCGGCGGCTTGCTGGCGCTGGCGCTGGCGGTGGCTGGTCAAATCGCAGCCAGCAGACGCAAAAAGCAGCAAAAAAGGATGGCTGGTCAGCAAGTCGCCTCTGCGCAGCAGACATTGAACAGCGCAAGATCGAACTAATAATAAAGACATCAAAAGACATCAAATAGCTAGAGACAGCGAGCAGCCCTTTTTTTTCTTTTATTTTTTTTTTTTTTCCCTTCCTCTATTTTTTATTATTTATTGGTTTTTGCTTCTTCTCGTCCTTGTCCTGTCCGGTTTTTACATGGCAGAGTGCGCTCGCATCGACGGCGCACCACAGCTAAAACGAGATTAGTTTTACCAACAGTCGCTCGCAAGTGCTGGCGGTAAGCAAATGAAGAGCCGTCGGGCGGGCCCAGGGTCGACTCGCATGCCTCGATGCGCTGGCACGCCTGGTCTGGGGAGGGGAGGGGAGGGGGCTGGGAGGCCGGGAGGCTCGAGATGGCTGACGCAGGGCAAAGGACGAGGCGAAGATGCGTCCTCTAAATACATGCGAAGTCGTCCTGGAGTAAGATAAGAGACCTCATGCGCCACTGTGGGCCAGCAGTCGTGTACGGAGTACTCTTATAGATCAACGGTGCAGAGTACGGGGTGAGGCCCAGAGGCAGTGGGAGACAGGCCTGAAGTACGGAGTACTGCCCACCCATCACCAGCACATCCATCCATTCGGTTGGCTACAGAGAAATGGGAGATGGGAGACGAGAGGGAGATGAGAGGATTGTGCGGTCCCGTCGTTGATCTGGTTCTGGCCGAGGGGGAGACGTAGGACAGCAGGCTCTGCTCGCTGCAAATCCTCCTGCGCTGCTCTCCAATATGATTATCGTTAAGTATATATCACCCACACCACCCGCACCGGAGTACCGGCAAGCAGCCAGCCACAGCCAGGATGTACATACTTATATATATGTCCACGGCGTGTGTTTCCCCTTCAGCGTAGCTCAGCAAGCAATATCCGGACCCTATCTTCCCACCGTGTAACGGCCGTGTCCCCAGCTTGTCCCAGTCGGCTATAGGGATTACCACGGTCCTCTCCCTCGCCCTCTTCCCCCCTTTCCACTTCCTTTACCGTTCCTTGCTCCTCCAGACTAAAGATCCGTTCCAGCACCAGCTCCCTCTTTGCCGTTTCGAAGAGCGCCGTCACCCTGGCCCGGCTGGCAGCCCGGCTGTCCTTATCCTCTGCTTCTTTTTCACTACCACCACCACTACTAGACAGCGCCTTAACCAGGCCTTCTAGCACGCCCAACACTATTCCCACTCGGACTCCCAGCTCTGCTCCAACGGGGTAGCCTTTGTCGAACCCCCGCTGCACATGCTCGCCCTTGGCCGCCGTCACCCCGTCGCGGTACCCGGCTGTGACATGCTGTCGCCGCAGCGAGGGTAGATCCGATGGCTCAGCGAGAGACGGCACCGTGTCCTCACCAGCCCTTCTACCAAGCATGTCCCCATCTTCGTCTGCAGCCGATGCTGCCGTCGTTTCTGCTGCTGTTCGTGGCGGAGACGAGCCAAAGACGTCGTCCAGCCCGTTCGAGGCCATGTCCGCCAGCCTGCCCGCTTCTTCGCCTGGAGATGGTGAGCTCATCGACGTCGACGGCGACAGGGGCGAGGGCAGAGGCTGCTCGTCTGCTGAACCTGCAGTGTCAACCGAGCTCGCCGTCATCCTCTCTTCTTCCACCTTTTTGTTCCGTTTCTTCTCTTCCTCTTTTTTGTCTTGTATATACTCCGTATATATTTTTTTCAATCCATCTTTTATATCCATCAAACGAGCAATCGATAACGGAAGATTAGGCTGATGACTAAGCTCCAAGTGGTTGAAGACTTGAACTTTGAGTTTGGGATTTAGAGCCATCCTATTGGCCAATGCTGACATACTATAACGTGACCATGAATAAACTGTGCACAGCTCTGCTGATTCATCAGGATTGGTCCCTTTTTACCCTCCTGAGCATCAACGGATATCAAAAAGTGATGCAGATATTAGATGCAAGCTTACTTTACTTTGCCGTCTAGTCAAGAGTATATCTTGGAAATGAGTTAGTATTCTGCGATGATGGTGGACTGATGAGAGAACGAGCGGGTGAAGGACCCAAGATAGGGGTCAGCTATCTTTGCACTGGCTGTCCTGCTTCTCAACCGTCTGCTGACTGTCTACCATCTGCTTCCCCTCTCGCCAGGACATATACATCACAAATCCAGTCCATATTGCCATGGCTATCGAACATGCTATCATAGCATACATGCCGGACTGCATCTGGTTAGTTCGAAAATATCCAGGGAATAAACTAGCAGGAATGTTGTTAAGACGTACTCTGAAATAAGGAGCATCACTGGCGGGATAGAAGACAATGCTCCACCAGGCGTTGATGACGTTACTGCCCATGTTCATGCCTGCAATTACAACACTGCGCCAGGCATCGTCTTTGTACCGCATCACGTCGTTGGCCCAGGCAAAGAAGGTGGCCTGGCATGCATAGACCGAGCCAGCCCAGTAGTATGCTGCAAAAATGGTGGCTGTCGATGAGCCGGGAGCCAGGATCATGGCAGAGGTAACTACACCGGTGATGCCGATCCAATAGCCCACAAGATACCGTTTCCCGCCGAGAAAGTCTGTGAGTGTGGCCCAGATGAGGGTCGAGACGATGCCAACGGCAGGGATGCCGGACGGGTAGTTGTTGTTCTGCGCGACTGTGTACTTGATGGTCGGATGAGATTTCATGTACAGGGCCAGAAGGGAGTTCGTTGAGAAGGACTCGGTCTCTCCTGCAATTACCCAGAGAATCACAAATCCGTACAGATGCCAGGTTGAGAAAACCCGCTTGGCCAGGGCAAAGTTGATCTTCGTGTGCTCGGCATCATCATCACTCGGCGACGGCAGCCTGGCTACGGCTAGTTCCTTGTCTGCAGCAGTAAGGTAAGGGGCACGAGTCGTCCTGGGGGTATCCGGAAATAGAAAAAACCCATACACAGCAATTGGGATGGTGATAAGCCCATCAATCTATTGACCATCATCATTAATTAGTATTTGGCCAAGGTGAATATCAGGAGTCTGGACAGGTGCAACATACTATGAAGAGCCATCTCCAGCCTGGCAAACCACCCTTCATATGCAAGGATGAATTGATACCAGTCTGGATGAAGCCGCCGAACATTGTTCCCGCGAGGCCAGATGCGGTGAAGATACCGGAGCGTTTCCCCAACTCTCGTTCCGTATACCAAGAGCCCAGAATATAGTGCGTTCCTACAAAAGTAGAGGACTCGGCTAGACCGAGGAAGAAACGGATGGCCATGATTCCCTGTGGATTGTGAACACCAGCAGTAGCCATGGTGAGCCCACCCCATATCACCATCATGCCCGGTAGGAAATACCGTGGCTTAAAACGGTAAAGGGCCAGGTTAGATGGTACCTGACCGAGCACATATCTAATTGGGAGTATAACCATTAGTTGACTTGTCCACATATGACCATTGGCAAACCGTACCCAACAGTAAAGATGGTATTGATAAGATTGAACTGTTTCCCATGGAAGTCTAGGTCTTCTTTCATTCCAGAGACGTAGGCATTCGCCAGGTTACTTCTGTCCAGCTATTCGTCAGTTAGACTTTGCTCGCTCCTGGGTGGACAACTAGGAAAACACCTACATAGTTTGCAAAGTACATCAGACAGCAAAAGCTGAGGATGAAGAAGTCTAGTTTGCGCAAGAGACGGGACTCTCCTGGCCTGCCCTCGGGCCCGCGTAGATAATCAATAAACCTGTTACCCATTCTGGTGGCCTTGCAGTGGACGATTTCAACTAAATGGGGTGACGGTGACAGCCAGAGCTGTGATCACCTCTTTATAGGTATCCCTGTCCAGGCTAGATGCCGCTGTAACTGGGGTAAACCTCGTATAGGTGGCCCCGGCCAACTACCTGTTCGCAGTCCTCGGCAGTATGGCTGAGCTACCGGCTTGTTGGGAGGTCGTGATATTGTATTCTCCTCTCCTTCAGCCGAGGACGAACTAGTTAGCACCGCAGACGGCCGCTAATCGCTGGTGAGGAGTAGATGTTCGGCGGATGTCTTGGTCTGCCATGTAAACCATCGGCCCGACAGCTATATAGCAATGCCCACGGTACTATCCAGCCATGATTCCACCAGCATCACCCAGTAGGAGAAATCTCATCGCCCGCTCCTGGTTTCTCCGGGGCTGAACTGGAGGCCGCGAGCGTCTCGAGGGAAGTTAGGTTAAGGTTTGCTGACAAACTAACTAGTTAGTTAATCAAACGTTAATTTGAGTCACTTCAACGTCTACGGAGTACAATAATGTTATTACAAGGCCATCCTTCGCACTCGGATTATGAACGATGTCTCTTTTTTCGATAGATCAATGCCTTCACTGGTTAGCTAGTTAATTAATTAGCTATCTCGCTCATTCACTGGCAAATCACCTTTTTCACTGATCCACCACTCAGCACCGACATGGCCACAACAAATTGGACCGGGAGCTTGTTGGACGTCTTATCAGCAAGGAATGATACTTCTTTTTGTCCGTCTTCCAGCCCTATTTTGGGCGCTGCTATGGTATCAAACCGCTGGACAAAAAGGAAAGTCCCTAACTGGCTGCAGAGATAGTCGTTATATCATTGACATATCATCACCAAAGCAACCGAGCCATGTGATGCAGCGCATATTATACCCTTTCCCTTTTGTTCTCAGTCAAAGCTCAGCAGGGGCCTCTTCTGGGAAGCAATCAGATGGTTTTGGAAGGAGGACGAAATAAACCAATTCCACCAGCTTATTAACCAGATTCCCGAAGAATATATCATGTTCACAAGTACTGGGACAGCCAGCTTTTTGTTTTGGAGCCGGTGCAGCTCTCGGACGATCGCAAAACGCTGCAACTTACATTCCATTGGCTTCAGCCCTCCATGACTCCATTCATGACACAACCATTAACGGGATATGCGAGCCACCGATAATGCCTGGCAATCTGTTCTCGGGGGGTCGTCCGTCAGCGGATTCCGAAACGCCGAATATACGATTATATGACTGCCAAACAGACGCCCGAATTCCGTCTGGGCATGTCATCACTCTACACACCGAGGGCTAAGTAAACAGCCCCTTGCCGAATATTGAACTATTTCACTTACAATGGTTAATGCATCGAGTTTTGTCACTCGCAGCTGCGGGGGCAGGTTATTTTCTGGATGATGACTTCGATAACTCTGACGAGTATGATGATTACAGTAAGAGAATCCCTTCGAAAGCCGGGTGACTCTGAAGATGAGTCAATTTCCCTAGAGGAGTTCGCCGATGCCCTCCGGCCCAATATTGAAGCGGCCTGCCACTGTTCTCCAGCCGTTTTGATGTCTGTTTTGTGCCTTCGCCAAGGCTCCAGTCTGAATCAAACAAGAGCACGGCTCTCTTCTATTTTATCCTCTGCTTTAACATGGATAGCATAGCATGTATTTTTAGAGGCTCACACAGCCCACTCCCTCAAGTCCTATAAGCTACGCGACAAACTTCGTCGCCTCGACCACGCTCGCTCGCTGCGCAACTCTTTACCTCCCAAATCTGACCCTCCTCCTCTTCTCACGAATGAGACTGAAGACGACACAGCCAACCGCGTTGCCAGGGGCCCTGCGTACCCGCGCGTCTTCCTATTTAGTCGTGGGCAAGTTATGAAGACCACAGGCCGACTTTTAGTATTACTCATTGAATTTAGCAAGAGACGTACCTTTGATTTTCTAATTGGCAGCCCTGCCTTGGGTCTTGGTACCCGTCTATCTATCCTGACCTATTTACCTTGATTACCTTTAATGGAGGAGGGTCTGTACCACTGGGTTAGGTGTCCTTGGAACGTGTATTATGTACTGAGAACTGGTTAATAAAGCTATATAGTATAGAATCTATATTCAGAAGCAACAATGTTCCTCTTGCGAAATATCTCACTCTTCCCCCCATCTATAAGTACTAGGCGCCCATCAGAATCAAGTTTATTAGCAGGAATGGTTGAGCGGAGGTAATCAGTTGATACTGGAGGTACGTCTCTTACCCAGGAGGGTATAAGGAAGGGGTTATAAGGTGGGTAAGGGTCACTACCACTCTGGCGATATATATGATCACCATTCCTCCGCATACCAAGACTTAACCGCCAGTTTAACGCCAGTACTAACGCCTCTGCAATACAGGCAAGGATAGCATAGCGAAGAGGGTCAGGATCAGCTGGGTCTGGTATATATTGAGGCTCCCAGGAACTCCGATTTTGATACCAAAAGTACTCCGTTTCATAGCCAATAACAACGAAGAATTCTTCCCCCGCCATTATAGCTTCGTAGAGACGGTATAAAGAGCGGAGGGGGGTGTCTCGAGAGCGCCAGATAGGTATATCTTGTAGGTTTTTAATATCTCCCTCAATACGTCTCTTCCAGCACAGTGATGGTTCTTTGATCAGGGTGCTTGGCGAGAGAGGTTCCGGAACAGGGAACGACCAAGTTAGAGAGGTTGTAGGTAGGCAAAGTCGAAGCAGTGAGAGAAAAGGCCGCTTGTTGTGATGGCTAAGCCGGGTAATACTACCGCGGAGTCGGAGGGGCGAGGTAAGACGTAGCAGCCTGTATTTCATCCGCAGCCACCAGGTCACCTTTTTCCGGGCCCGCGGCCTGGTAGCAGGGCGTGCTTCGGCCATATCACACCGACACTGCCTATAGCCTCCTTTTTGTCAGCTCCAAAGCACAGTATTGCTGCCGCTATAGGGGGTTGTGCTGATATTTCCTACCTGCTAGCGGCCTCTAATCAACGTTTGGTGTGCTGGCTGCCTGGCTAGCTAGTGAGCGCTCCTTGGTCTTTCGTATCCTGTCTTGCTAGCTGCCAGTCCCCCATTCTCTCGACAGGGACGACGTTGGATGCTTCGTTGTCGGTCCTCATCGTCGGTGAAGACGAGCAGTGCGTTTTGAGCTTTTTTGGCCTGACCGAGGATCGACAGCGGGCCGGAGCCTCCACCGACGGCCAGACATTTCTCCGCTCCGCCACAGGTTGCCCAGCATGGGGTCCATAGGTCCAATTGATAGCGGGTAATTATACTCTTGATGCGACAGACTGGAGCTGAAAGTTGGCTGGAGAAAGATGGCTTCAAGGGAACTCGCTATCGAAGACACATGGTTTGCGGAGGGGCTGGGGGATAGGGACTGGATTAATAAAATTAGCCTATCAATTAAAGACAGCCTTTGTGATCCAGGAAGATGGCCTAAAAGGGAGGTAGGCCCAGAGCCTTACTTTGTATTACAGAATTACCACTTATTCTCGGTGTCACGATAAACCAAACTCGCTAACCAACGTTTGGAAAACTAAGAAGTCGATAAAATTAACAAGGTAACGGCGCTACAAGAGACCAGAAAGCAATCGGAGCGCACACAATATTTCAACACAAATCTGGGTTAGGCAGCGCTTAACCATTTTATCGACAAAATCTCATTTGTGGAACTTCAGGCCCCATTCATTGCTCCGGCCCTTTCCCTTGGCCAGTGGCCGATTTGGCTGCCTCTGCCTCCGTTTCTTCTGGAGTTGTGTCGATGAATCCCGGGATACCAGCCTTCCTGATCTGCTCCATATATTTTCCGAAATCTCCCTTGCGGGAGGGGAAGAATTTGAAGGTCCCGTCAAAATGCACATGGATGCTGCCGATACGGTCCTTTGAATTTTCAGTCGTCAGGAGGCCAACGGTGATCACTGGAAATGGGTCCTTTGGATCGTTGCTCGATTTGTGGGCTCTGCCACCCCTGGGAATAATCTGTTAGTGGCATGCGGAGTTATATAACATGTATCAATGGGCAAAAATACTGGACGTCCGCCACTTTTATTCGGGGGTCCTATGTGTGGGCAGTTGCTGTTAGCCGCGTCTCTGGGCCTCCGTTCATAACGACTGACGTGCGTGCTAACACGATACTCACAGCTTTCTCGATATCGTCGGTTATCCTCATCACCATTGACTGCCAGTGTCCTCCGTCCAGGCCATTCTGATGCAACATAGCCTCAAAGCCAGATCCCCTGAAGGTAATGGACCTGTACGCGCTAGTGCTGAACGCTTTTGTACCAAGGGTATTCATCCTGGGCGGCGGGTCGGATACTGAACGGTGTGTCCTCAATAAGTCTGGGAGGTTTAGGGTATCAACGAAATCAAGCTGAGGGGTCAAGTATGCCTACACGCGGGCTCACTGTCCGTCGTTACTGTCCGTCGTTTGATTGATGAGAACACCTGAACAATTTCGAGGACCACTGACTGGCTTTTATGCCTAAATCAAACCCATGCTTACGCGCCGGGACCACTTGCACCTGCATGTCACCCCCTCTCCATCCTTGCAGGGCTAGTAACTACGCCGTTGGCCAGTTGGCAAGAGGTGGGTGTGGAGTGCAAAGTCATTCTCAGTTTGGCTTGCAAATTCCATATCCAATCGAGAAGGAGAAGAAAGGGGAGTTTCTGACGATAGCCGCCGTATTTGGAGGCGCATCCCCCTTAGGCTTACCATACTCCCCTGCTCCTCCGGGCACTACCTGGAAATAGTAGCAGGTGAAACACGGAAACGCTGGTCCGCAAAATCAGGCCTGCCTAAAAAGTAGAGGGCATGTCGTCTGGGCTGCTATTTTAACGTTCCCATACGTAGCTACATTGGGCACCAGCGGTTGGAAAACTGCGACCATTGGTCGTATGTATATAGTTAATCCTTCTCAACATCCGACAGTGGACAGGCGGCGGCTAACAGTAGTCAGTTATTGATACTATTATTTGTCGCATAAATAAATGTAACTTGTTAGTTAAACCGCGAAAAATGAGTGGGTGACTCCACCAGGTGTGTAAGCAAGCCTTGGTGCGATCACGGGTAGTTAGTTAGTGCCTCACCACCGTCCTGGATGAACATCACCAACGCGAAGTCGAGACGACAATCGCACGTCCACAACCACCAACCATCATGAGGCTGGTGCGTGCTGGATGCTCGCTTGGAACGCTGGTCCCCGTCCCTCGTGGCCCCCGAGCGGCTTCCTTGGGCTTCCCAGCTCGCCCTCGACAGCGGTATCAACCACCAGCACCAGCATCAGCAGAAACACTAGCACGACGAAGTCGCGGCACTGCGGTTGTTCATCGACGTGCGATGGCTACCATGGCCGCAGCCCCTTTGAACCCTCGCCGTTTCCCGGTGTCCGGGTTCACCGAACTTGATCCCGCAGTACCTATTGAAGAGGAGTTGCTGCCGGACTACATTGCAGAAATGTATTATCCCGTACGTATCGGAGAAGTGCTCAATGGCAGATATCAGGTTGTCTGCAAGCTTGGATATGGAACAACTTCCACAGTATGGCTTGCTCGCGACCTCCGGTAAGGAAACAACTTTGGCTACCGACAGACAGACAGACAGACAGAAGAAACAGACATCTAACATGCAAGTCTTAGGAACGCGGACGATGGCTTCACCTATGTTGCATTGAAGATATATGTCAACAGATATATCAAACGTGACGAGACAGCCATCTATGATCGGATCCATGCTGCATCCAATGTGGAAAGACATCCGGGCTGCCGGTTTGTTCGTAAACTGCTGACGTCCTTCGATATACAAGGACCACACGGGAAACACCTCTGCGTTGTTCACCAGGCACTTGGAATGAGCATGGATCAGCTTTTGCGATGCTTTCCTCGACGATCTATTCCAATGGACTCAATGAAGCGATGTCTCCGCCAGTTCCTTATCACACTGGACTTTCTACATACCGAGGCCGGAATCATACACACTGGTTAGCCGTGGCAGCCCGTCATCACATTTTTGCTGCTCAAAGTGCTAAATCCTGACCTTCTCAGATCTCCAATCTAAGAATCTGCTCCTTCCCGTTGATGATGTTTCGACTTTCAAGGAGATGGAGGAAGATGAATGCAAGAATCCATCTCCGAGAAAAGTCCTAAGGGATCGCTCCATTTACAGCATGCGTAGGCTGCCTCTTCCGAACGGAGGGCTGCCCTTGATCTGTGATTTTGGAGAGGCCAGGGTGATGAACGAGGAGGGACATACTGACGATATCATGCCCGATATCTACAGGGCCCCCGAGGTCGTTATGCACATGAGATGGAATGTAAAGGTTGATATCTGGAGCGTTGCGATGGTGGTAAGTCACATCACCTCAGTGATCTCTTCCTCTCTAGCTAAATAATCTGTCTGAAGGCCTGGGATCTTGTTGCTCCCCACCCCATGTTCAACCGTCAGCACCCAGAGACTGGAGAACCTGATGATAGGTATCTCATTGCGCAGTTCGCCGCTATCCTGGGCCCACCACCTGTCGAATTCTGGAGCCAGAGCAAACTATGTCAGGCCTTTTGGGATGAAAATGGTTTGTCGACTTCTACAACAACAAATCTCATTTTCTCTCCCTATATATACTGACGAAATCATATTCGGAACAGGGAACTGGAAAAATGTGGTTCCTCTCCCAGAGATATCTCTCGAGGGGCTAGCTGCAGATATTGAGGGTGAAGATGTGCCAGGCTTCCTACGCTTTCTGCGGAGGATCCTTCGCTGGCTCCCCGAGCAGCGTCCGACGACCGAGGAGCTGATCTACGATCCATGGTTGCTAGCGGGCCTTGGAAGTGGAATCCAGGGACAAATCAAAGCTGACAAAGACCCTCTGCCTGTGAGCTGAAGTTAATGGGCAGCTGCGTAATTACTTAGGAACACACTCTGCCCTAGAATGGTGGCTTGCTGTATCTTGACGATTTCATAGGTCCCTGAGCAGCAGTAGTGGAACCGAGTTTGCTAACCTGCGCCTGTCAGTGATCAATAGAATTAGCGTGCATAGCAGCATGTTGACAAAAAAAGCTCAAACTAACCCTATCATCCCTTGTTCATCTACAGTTCAAAATATTCCCCTTGCCAACCCTTGGCTCGTTGTTGCACCATGAATGCCAGGCTCTACCCACTACCGCCATCCACGAAACCTATTCTAGTGGTGCCTTTGAGAAACCTCTGCGATAGCGCCTCTTGAATAACCTTGGACTTGGGGGCTATTCAATAGTTTGGCTAGTCCTTGACACTCGGTTGAATCGCTACGTTGCTGTCAAAGTTGCGCACGAGTCGAAGGTTCTCCGGTGCCTCTTAGTAGTACCACAACCGTTATCTTTATCATCGTACTGGTGTGGCGTATGTATTTTGAGGAATTACTTCCTGGGCCCAGACGCTAAGAGGGTGTTTGATGAGCTGAAGATAACCACTGTTCCCGTTTAGGAGCAGAAATTGTAGCTACTTGATGTCCAATTAAGCCCATTCGTATGGTGCAATCTAGTGTTAATATTGCTGTTTCCATGATAGATAGAAACGAGTCAGACAAAGGTGAGAATAGCTAATAGACACTTATCGTTCAAAAGTTAACTAAGTAATAGAGCTGAACATGGGAATTAAATCAGCTTTTAGTCGAGCCTGGGTCGCCCTACTGAGAAGCACATCCCCCCCTGCATAGTTAATGTGGTGATCGTAAACAAGCCCCTGGAAATGAAACTAGGGAGAAAGAAAGAAGCCTCACCATCTCATCATCCCCCCCAGCCCAACCCTCCTCCGTCCGCACCGCACCTACACATTCCGTGTTGCCGCCGATTATCTCACAGCGTACTTTTGTCCCAACCCTTTTTTTTTTGGCGACGATCATTATGTCTGGAGTTCCTTTTCGGCTACCTGCTGGTATTATTATGTCCCGGCTCCTCGCATTGCCAAATACCCTCCGTGTCTTGATGCCCATTCCCCTATTCCACCCTGGGCCAGCAGCAATCAGGACCATGGCTTCGGCATCTCACGCACCTCCACGCAGATTCCCTTCGTCGGAGTTTGTGACTATTGATCCAAAGCTGAAGGTAGAGGAGGAGGAACTGCCCTCCTATGTGCCAGGAGACTTTTACCCAGTTACGATTGGTGAGGTCTTCATCGAGAGATACCAAGTAGTGACTAAACTTGGCTTTGGTATATCGTCTACAGTGTGGCTTTGCCGGGACCTTGTGTTAGTACCTTAGTATTTCCCAGAATATACTATATGCGGGCATGCGGTGACTTCAAGATGACCAACTTTCCTGTTAGGAGTCATCGATATCTATCTCTCAAAGTATGCACTTCACACAAACGGCAAAATAATGAGATTTCCATTTGCAACCATCTCAAGGCAAGCAACATCGAACACCCCGGAACACCGTTTGTTCGCATGATACTTGATTCTTTCAATATCATGGGTCCAACGGGGAACCAACACCAGTGCTTGCTTTACAAACCACTTGGGATGAGCTACACAGCATTCCTTGACATGTTTCCCGGCAAGCAGATGCCTGAGACCCTAGTTCAAAGGAGCATGCAGTTGATACTCTTGGGGCTAGACTATCTACATAAAGCCAAGGTTGTCCACACAGGTATGCTTTTATTATCTGGTACATAAAATGCACATTTGGGCCCCAAGGACTGACCTTTCTAGACATATCTACAAATAACATCCTCCAAGGGATCACTGATCTTACAGCCCTTTCTGAAATTGAAGATGGTGAAGCCAACCAGCCAATCGCTAGAAAGGTTCTTGATGATCGCACGATCTTTGTCTCGCGACCCATGCCGATAAATACGGGATTACCTGTTCTCTGTGACTTCGGTGACGCGCGCATCGGTGACAAGCACAAGGGTGATATTATGCCAGGGATTTACAGGGCCCCGGAGGTTATTCTGGATATGGAATGGGATTCTAAAGTGGATATTTGGGCAGCCGGCCTCACAGTAAGGGGATTATCTCTACCAAAACATTCTGCGCATATATATATGAGGTGGGACTAATTTCATTGTTCAAGACCTGGGATCTCCTCGAAACGGGAACTCTTTTTTTCGCAAGAAAAGACGGCCTACTGAATGATGAACAGCACCTAGCTGAGATGGTGTCACTTCTTGGGCCTCCGCCTCTCGAGTTCATAAGACGAAGCAGCAAATGCCTTCAGTACTGGGATGAAAACGGTATGATCATAACCCAGCAATTGTAAAGTGCCTTGTAAAGCTAACAAGTGTTGTCCATAGCCAACTGGAAAGGATCTATTCCTATCCCGGAGCAATCTTTTGAGATACGCGAGCGGAGCCTGGAAGGGGATGGCCGTACTATGTTCTTACATTTCCTACGATCAACGCTCACATGGTTACCTGAAGAAAGGCTTCCGGCCGAAGATCTGGCACGGCACGCATTTCTTATGCAGCCCCTTCTGGCTGCAGGCGGACCCAAGCAGCATTCTTGATGATCTGTTTGGATAACTTGGTTATTAAGTGTATGGTTTATACACACTTGTCACCTGTATGTCATTCCCGAGGACCAATGGCAAGCAGCAGCAATATCCCCAAGGCCCGGTTCGTCTGATTTGTCAGTTAAGTACTATATTTCCCCCCTTGGTAGTGAGCTAATCATGTTAACTAATTACTTCGTCAGGTCGACTAGTCATTATACAGTTGCGTAGAGCCTCGGGTTCAGCTATGGGTGTTGCAGCTCTTGTAGTTTCACCTTGCATTTTGTTATGCAGGGATGAAGGAGGGGAGGAACCAAATACGGATTACTCTACGCAACTCCTAACTGGGATTCAGAAGCTGAAAGATTCAGACAATTGCCATGAATATCACAAAGAGCGTGGGAAACACATGTCCTAAGCTATATTGTGTCTCTCCCTTATCAAATCGGCTTTTTTCTACTACGGGTCTACGCCACAGATCTAGGTGTAAGTAGCTCGGAGTAACTATGGAGGACTTGGTCTTTTCTGTTTGCCTCCACGGAACAAATAAATCATGATACACTCCGTAACGCCAGCCTAATCTTTGGCTATTGCAGTTAGTATATCATCCCAATGCCGTCTCCCAGGCTCCATTCCTATGAAAGGCGCTCCCGTCAGATATCTACTTAACATCATGCCCGCCGCAGTGAAAAAGCCTGAAAAAAAGAAAGTTTGAAGGTTGAAGGTTGGAGGTCTTTAAGTTATTAGTCAGCAATTAAACTTCTTAGTTAACTAAAACAAACCAATAAAAATTTGCCAACTTTAACTCCGCACGCTCAAGAATATTTGATTCGCTGGCTGTGTAAGTAACAAAGTGATTTGTCATCATATGTATATTACTAAGCAAGTTCGGCCCGAGTGAAAAAGTAAAAAACAACAACTTCGACTTGTAAAAAAAGAGCGACGACGAGGAAGAGAAGATGGAAAAGAGAAACAAAAGGGACAAGCTGGAGTGACAGTCACAGTAACACGATGAAACACGGGGAGAACCTGAGCTGAAACAATCCAGCAAAGGAGGAGTGATGATACGATGTCGACGTTGTGCTGGAGAGGCCCAAAAGAAGAGGCTGGGGCCTGCAGCGGCGGCCACTCCCAGCCTCCCACATCACCGCGCCAGCCAGCCAGACGGGGACACAACTCCCAACCACCCGCCGCCTCATAAGGACAACGATGGCGAGGATAAGAAGTCGGCGGGCCCAGTCACTCTCTTGCCTCTTCTTCCTCTTCACCGTCTAGCCCCCCCCCAATAACCCATAATCAAACCCACTATGCAGCGTCACCAGCAGCAGCACCCACTTGAGACGCCTCGGTTGAAGGTCGTTGGCAGTAAGTCGGCCATTATACCTCTATAAGTAAGCTCATATACTGATTAATTGCCCAGGTAGCCAGCCGAAGCTGGTTCACACGCCCTCCCAGCAGTCAATTGCTGCTTCGGACGACTATTACTCCTTCTCAGACCTGACCTCTCACTCCAGCGCCAGTAGAGTCACTGTGGTCCCCTACCAAACAGCTTCCTCTCGACATCCTTCTCCAGACCGTCGACAGACACAGGCAGAGATACAACCACAGACAGAGACACAACCACAGGCAGAGACACAACCACAGGCAGAGACAGATACGCAGGCACGAGATACGCCCCTACCGGCTAGAGTTGTCAACATGAGCTCCGCAGCTCGAGCAGAGAACGGCACGCCGACTCCAGCTATGGATGACTCACCTTACATTCGCTTTGCCATTGACCAGTTGACCAGAGATGAGGAACTTACGGGCCATGGACGCCATGGATCGCTAGCCACCTCTGCTGACTATCCTGTTGAGCGCCTTGTTCCTGACGAGGGACTCGGTTACTACACCAACACCACAGCAACCAACAAAATCCACAAAGATGACCATACACGGAACACACATACAAATGTCAAAAAGGAAATTAATGACCATACTAACAATAATGATAATGATAATGATAATGACAAAATGGGAAGCTCGCCAAAGACCGGAATCCTCCTGGCTGTCGATCCCCCAATCAACGCGCCGCTCACTTTTGTTCCCTACGTTCTTCGACCGGTACTGCTCGGCCCTGTTATCCTCCTCACTCTCGGTATGGCCGCAGCCCTCGCTTTCATCAATATCTGGTCTTCGAGAAACGATGGAATGACCGCATATGTCTACTTTGGCGGCTCGGAATACTTTTTGTTTGAGTTCCTGCCTCAGATAATCGGCATGTTGTTCGTTCTGTGGATCTTTGTCCTGCAAGCGGCTGTCTACCGCATAGCTCCTCTCTCGGGTATAGCCCGCGCTCAGACGGCGAGGGACACCACGTTCCAGCGGCTGTCCATGCTGCCTAGAAACTTTGTTCTGCCAGATCTCTCACACTTCACCTATGGCGAGCCCGTCGTAGGTGTCTGTCTGCTCGTTTTCTGGTGCGTCGATTGGTTTACTGTGCCTCTCCTCAGCTGCCTATTCCAACCTCGCTTCTATGGCACTCTCCAAGATGGCGGTTTCCGCTGGGTCAGCGTTCAGGGAGTTGGCTGGACGCTCTTCTCCCTCTACTCCATTCTTGCCCTGGCTTTGCTCGCCCTGCTGGCCCGCTTTGGTTTTGGCACCAGTGGTCTCCAGTGGGACCCCGTAAGCCTGGCAGACGTCATCCCATTTATCCAACGATCAAATGTGCTGCACGACTTTGACCAGTCAGAGGTCACTCCTAATGTAGCGGGCCATCTTCCTCCCAGAAAATTGCGATTAGGCTATTGGAAATCTTCTGCAGCTCCCGGGGATAGTTTCTACGCCTTGGGTCAGGAGGCCGCACCATTGAAGAGAGTATCTTCGGTGGACCGCCTGCTGGAAAAGGGCCATAGCCACAGAAGAAGCAACAGCACCAGCAGTAACCACAACATCGATTCCATTGACCTTGAGCGACAGGACCTTCACAGCAAGGACTCCTTCGAAAGAAGCCTACACTCACCCTTCTTCCGCTATAGATGGGTACCCTGGTTCCTCAAAGATACTTTTATTGTCGTCTGGATTGTCATTTCCCTCGTTCTGCTGATCGCTTTCATTACCGTCAGCTTCGTCAACCGCCCGTTGGAGCGAGGTTTCTTGCCTCTTCTACCAACTCTCCCGTCTGCGTCCGGCTTCTCTTCCTCCAATTTTCTCTTCAGCTTCATCCCGGCCATGCTCGCAAACTTCCTCTTCCTTGCCTGGCAGCCCATTGACGTCTATTTCCGCGCCGCCCAGGCCTACGCTGACCTTTCCTCCCCGCGCGGCGCCTTTGCAGAAAAATCTCTCTTGCTCTCTTACAATGCCTGTCTGCCTCTTGAAGCCACCTTCCACGCTCTCGTTGCCGGCCACTACAAGGTAGCCTATATCTCCTTTATAAGCGTCGCCTCCCTCGCTCTGCCCATCCTCGCCGGCGGTGTCTTCATGGCGCGCTTCTACGCCGAGCTTGAGCAGGTGCGCATCTCCTCTTACTTCCCGGCTTATTATACCCTCATTGGGTTTGCCATCCTATATGCCTTTTCCTTCTTAGCTATCTGGCCCAGGCGCAAACGCTACCTCCCTCATCCTCTGTACACGTACGCCGACACCGTCAGCTTTCTTTATCAAAGCCCCTTGCTCGTTGATAAGATCTTCCGCACCCCCCAAACAAAGACGGATCTTATCACTCGAACTATCGTCGCGCCGCCTGGTGAGAGCCACAAGGCACTGTATGCCTTCGGTCTCTTCTATGGCCAAGACGGTAAAAGCCATCTTGGCATTGACCGCCTGAGAAGACTTGAGGGAGACGCTTAGAAACCGACTCTTCCCTGCTCTTCCATTTCCCAGTTTAGACTTTTCCCCCATTTCGGATGGATAACAGCATGGAGTTACTGGTGTATAATGGTTTATTATGTTTTAATGAGCGTTCTCGCTATGAGACTATACTAATGATTTTAAAGACAAAAGTGAACGAGAAAATGATGAGATATGTATTTTAGACAAACTTGATACCAAAATTATGAACCCTTTTCTCTGACGAGACAGGCGCCTGCATCAGTTTCATCTAAGTAGATATTTTCCTCCCGGTTTCAGACTCATGACTCCGTATGTAAATCATAATTAAATCCAACATTCATCCATATAACAAAAGGTAAGGAGCCAACGATAGGATGAGTAAATGCATGATCAATGATCTTCGCCAGGCATAAGCGGCTGTTTGTGAACAGCAGTATAGGATGTGTCAGCGGAAGACAAGGGGAGCGAGTCAACAAATTTAGTAGCCACAAAATCGCTTCTCATCTGGGGAAAGCAGTCCCCTGCATGAAAGACGGTCATGAGCAGAGCAGCGATTAGACATAGGCTATTTACCGGATTAGACATGCCACAACCAGTACGTGGTATTTACAAAGGGGACACAACTTACAAGGACTCAAGGACAACGAAGGAGACCTCATCCTGCATAATCTCGTTTCTCCAGCCACCAACCATTTCGGCAATTCTAGTAAAGTTAGAGTCAGCCGTCATCTACATAAGTACTTAAACCAGTCTGACGTTAGAAAGAAACATACCTGTAAACACATCGGATGAATATGAATAGGAAGGCAACGGTTGTACTTCCAAGAAATAGTTTGAACTTCCTGCTACCCCAGAGCTGTTTTGCCGTTGGATTGGCACCGTGCCTCCTCTCACTCCTGAGTCTCCAGAAGAAATGTGCGACAAGGAAACCAAAGACAGTTAGCGTAAAGACCTGCCAGACAATACCGGCAATCATAACATTAGTACCGGCATCCTGCTGAGCCTTGTTCTGCTTTGCGGTAGCCGCAAGACCACCCCCGATACCTTGGAGCGTGAGCGAGAGCAGATCGACGCCGATGAAGATCCAGGTATAAAAACGGGGTTTGAGGAGAGACAAGTTCGGTCCCAGCGCCAGACAGAGATGTTTAAGAGTAAGGTAGATGGCTGCACTAAAGAATGCGGGAGCCATGATGAGGGTGGTGATTTGCATCTGGAAGCCGGTCGCTGAGAATGGGTTGTCATGCAGTATTATTCGACCGACGTAACCTGCCAGTATCTGGTTAACGCGAAGATTTTGACTGATGAATATAGCCTAGACAAACCAATTGCTTCACCCAGACAGCCAACAGTCATGGCAAAGCTGTAGGTGTAGGTCTTGTACTTGAAAGTCTGCCATCCTTGGACGAGCATGAGAATGCCAAAGACAATGACCAGAGCAGCGTTGATCGGCCGGTTGGGATAGTATCCGTAGATCGAGGCCTCAACGGGACACTGGGCCGTCACCTCAGTGCAAGTTAGGGGGCTTCCGCCTTCCATCGTAATATTGACTAGCTATCAGTAACTGATAAATTTTCTGGTACGGAGTATGGGACACGATTCTATGTGCAAGGGTATCAAAGTATAGACCTAGATATGAAAGAGAGTCGGGCTGCGAGAAGGCATAGTATTTAAATATCTCCTAGGCCAAACTGATCCTTCAATTTTGTAAGTCAAAAGGCCGTAATCAGTTTATGTCAACTTCCAGGCTGAGCTGCACTGGCGGCAGCCAGGCAATACAACGGGACCCCTGGCTGAACCCTGCGGCTTGGAAGGGGAGGCATGGCAGCCATGCATTGGAAATCCAGTGTCACACCGCTCGCACGGGTAACCGAATGCATTTAAATATCAGTTGGACACGGGCTGATCAGGCTTGACAGCCGATTCCCCAGGGATATATACGCACAGAGGTCACGCAAGACCACCCACTATATGCCTGAGAAGTGACCAACACACGGCAGAGACTCTCCGTTTCATCCTCCTGAGCAATCTAATGTCTAACATTCCTTCAGGCTAGGGTTAATCGTTAACTCGTCACTCAGGCTGGCGGCCAAGCTGCAGGGTGATTAACTCATGGGGCGGGATGACGCAAAGCGTTCGTTTACGTCCGTACAAAACGGAGATATATTTGAAGCCGCCCGTAAGGCGTCAGACACGGCGGCCATTTATTAAAATATGGTATAACAATACGGAGTGAGTGTTATCCAACGTTTCATCGCAAGAATAATGGTTAGCTAGATAAGCCATGTAGTCAAGCTACTTATGTTAAGAATAGCTTGAGTATTTGGCGGTCGGCGATTTGGATTTAGCCATGGCACTTCTTTCTGCTTTTCGTAGTGGACGCTTTGTACCGGTAGTTCCTCTACTTTGTATTCCCTACTCGTCCGAAGGCAAATATATCTTGGTACCCGTTCATAACGCCAGTTGAGAGCGCGTCTTGAATCGTTTTGCCTCCCCGATATGGCCGTCGCGTCAAGCGATTAGTTACCATCTTTCTCTCGGCAGGTGAGCTTACATCAACCGGCCCGTCGTTGTCACTCCCGTAGAAGCCATGCTCTTTGAAGCGAGCCCCGAGGCCTTGCCGCCTTGCCTCGCGGCCCTTGCTTGGTGAGGGTGGCTGTCGTTGTTCTGCTCCCAGAGAGGTTGGCATTCGGGTGCAAACTAGGTTTATCCGCGTGCGGGAGCTCCCTGTCGCGAGCTAAGCCTCTTTAGGTTAGTCAGCTCACGAGATGGGTCTTGGCAAAACCCTCGTGATGACTTCAGCCTCAACTTCGACCTCAACGCGTCAAACACCACAACTTCGTCCTTTTCGAGCAGTCAAATCGCCGGCTTAACATGGAGCTCTGCTGTTAAAAGGAGTTACACAACATTAACGATACCATCTTATTCCTTTGTCCGTGGGCTAAGCAGAGGCTCGCTGCGGTTCGGTAGATCTGGCCACCGCTATGTTTTGCTCGATCCGCTCATTCCATGCCCTGGGCAGCTGCAACAGATATATGGCCTTGGGCTACGGTGGTACTCCGTAAGTTTTTCTGTTGCTGGCTAACTAGTTACTATAATAGGCCATGTCAACAAAAGTTATCCAGTACCTCCACCTCCACGTTTCAAACACCCTGGAATGTTTAACTGAAAAGGAGGATACTATCTAGGCGGCTATGGCGCAAGAGTTTTGGCCTCCACACGTTGAGAATTATAACGCATACCTAAGCTCTTGGCAAATACTGCTAGAGAAGATGGAACAAGGACCAAGCTTGATTATTAAGTAATAAAATTGATCGAAAAGAATATACCCAAAAGGAGATCGAGGCCGTCTATACCACACTCGGTCCTGTTTCAGAGATATGACCTAGTGCACTTGAGCTTCTGGAATATGGCTATATCTAGGCTACTGCCAGGTTAGGATGTCATTAACCTTGCAATAAACGGACAGTAATTACGAATGATATCTCCAAAAGGATACCTGTCACCCCGGAAATCTAAACCCAGTCGGCCATAGTGTATAGTTAGTTACAAAAATACTTTTTACCGACAGACTTTCTAGCTACAAAGCGAACGCCAAACCACACGCAATCAAACAAAAATCTGGAACGCCTCCGCTTTTTCCACGCCACTCTTATCACAACTTCATTCTGCTATGTGGGGAATACATTATCTTGTCGACCATCTGCTGTACTTAACCGGCTTATCTCTCTAAATACATGGAGAAGATAAGTTCCTCAGTTCTTCGGCTAATTACAATGGTATTTCCGCTGCACCCCAAAACTGTCAACCATCCAATATCTTTTGAGAGATCTCTCTGACACGACCTCCGACTTCCAACAAATGCCTTCTGCTGGTCCTCGAGTACAATAGGAAATACCCTATAAACCCTGTTCCCCCTACCGGTGATACGACTTTTGTCCAAGTAATGCGCTCTGCCCGAGACATGTGTGGAGTAATTTCTGGAAGATGTTCAATTACTCTTTCGCAAAGGTCATCTGGTACTATGATGTTTGGGCGATGGATAGGAATCATTACTATTGCGCACCAGTACTGAGCGTGGCAGGAGAAAGGTTTGGACAAAGCCCTAAAACGCTCACGATCCTCGAGTGCCCGAAGAAACTGAAGCCCGTAGAAGTCCACACCATATGTATAGGTGGTAGCGAACACACATTGCAGCCCGGGTGGCCGAGCATTGACTTCAATCAGAAACACATCTGGCTGGTCTTTCGCTGCTGCTGAATGAACGACGTCAGCAAGGTCCAAGATACCATCAGTTTGGATATAGCCCATGGAAGAATTTCGCACCCGGGCCTCAACATGGAAGACTCCAGAGCGGAACCCTAGCTTAAGAAGACTCTGATGAAGGGACGATTGAATAAGCTGTGTTTCTTTGGGGTCCAGCCTGCTTGGTAGCAACATAATGGTTTCCGCGAAATTGTCCGAAATAGTCGCATCCATTGCATCTGCCTGACAGGGCAATTCATCAGATATCTCACAGAAAAGGACCTCGCCCTCCCAAAGCACAAAGTTTGCATCTACCTCTGGACCGTCGATATACGTCTCGAGGAGAATTCCGTACTTCGAGAGGCCACTTTCTTCTAGTTGCTGCACTGCTTGGCGCATGCCCGCATAGTTGTTGACTTTCCTGACACCACGGGATGCGCCATCCCGACATGGCTTGACAATCAACGGATATTGCATATATGCCACCTTCATAGCTACAGGAGGGTCGTCCAGCTGCGCCGCATTATCTAGTCGCAATGTTTGTGTCTGGGTATTACCAGAGTCTAGCAATTTGCGAGTCTCATATTTGTTGTGGGCACGTAAAATCGCTTGTGCGGACTCGGTTGGAAGGCCCAATATCTCCGCTGCTTTCGCCGTTGCGACCACAACTTCATCCGAGAATGTAACGATAGCATCGATTCCCCTTCCTTTGAGTGCTTCAGCAATCCTCGAGGGAAGCTCCGCGTCGTTGGTCATATCAACGGCCACGAATTCATTTCTTAGATGTGAATACGTTTCTCCTTCAAGCCAATGCCCCGGTCGATCGACGACATCTACCAATATACCCAGGGCTAAAGCTGCCTCGAATGTTCCTTGATGGCCGTATGATCCTTTATGTATGTCGAACATGGGACGCCCTCCGATCAGGGCTACTTTGCGTACGGTCGGTTTAGTCGGAAGCACCCAGTTGAAAGACAACCGAACTCTCAACTCTTCTTCTAATACTGCGAATGCTTCAGAATGAGATGTTAAGGACTGCTTCGCAAGTAATGCCCCAGGAGCCGAAGATAACAGAGCTAGGAAGCTGCATTTGCCGTACTCGTCTACTGCAACCGATGACAAATGGCCATCAGGAGAAGGTTGAAACCGAATAACCGAGCCGACAAATGCAGAATTTCGCATTCTCAATTCAAGGACATCATTCCTGCAGAGATATCCATTGTTGGGGACAAGTATCACCTTTACTGCCTGCTCAACTTCTTTGATGCCTGATGCTTCCTGAACCTTGTAGCACTCATGGACGAGATTCTCAAGGACGTTGCCAGTGGCATACGGAATAACGCTCCCATTTTTGTCGTTTTCGCAAGCAACAATCTCTATCAGCAGGAGCAGATCAAGGGAGTAGAAATAACGCTGTGCATTCACGTCTCCGGCGGGCTCAGGAAGCCTCCAATGGCACGAAATCTTTGCCCCAGCTATCCGCAGTATCCAAATTAATTTAACTAGGACACCTCATAAGGGATATCAAAGTAAGCTTACCTTTGTTACCGGGCATGTTGACCAAGAAGGCTTCATACGAAAATGACGTATCGTCAATGCCATTCTTACTCATGGTCTCTGGTTTCACGAAATTAATCTTCAAACGATGAATCTGAGTATAAATTCCGTTGGCAGTTCAGTGTTCTTCTGGAGTCTGAGAAATTGCTACTGCTTTATTGAGGAACTTAGCAGTCCGTGCTTACTTATATATGAGATATGGAACGCTGACCCGGGCTATTATATCCTCAAACATGGAGTATCCATACCATCCTTGCGCTCTCCACGGAAAAGAATGCCACTTTACGAACATGGTGTATATACGTAAGTATACGCATACGTGTGTGTGTGGCCAGCATCTAACCCACTTGTTAGCTACATGCATCATGTTACGGCGTACACTAAGTTAACCCTTGGATGTTACACGTTCGTTCTCGTCAGCTCAACCTTAAACGACCCGCCAGACCGGTTGACTTTTGCCCAGCTTTAAATGGCGAAACCAATTGGCCATAACCTGAACAGGGTGTAGCGAACGTATCCCGCGAGCACAGAGTCATCTAAGACATTGTCTTTACCGGGATAAACGTTGCCTACCCGAGAGCACATGGCCTCGAATATGCCCGAATAGTGTCAGATCCCCAGCTTCTTTTCCTTACCAGCTTTCCCAAGTCAAATGCAGGCCGGAGGTGAATTTCGAAGAAATATGATAATGGGTTTCCAGCCGGGCATACCCCGCAAAGCGATCTTGAGCTCAGACT